TTTACTCCATATATTTCTGTGTTGCATTCATATGCACAACAATTTCTGTAGCATAAAGAGTTAATGGATATTTTGGTTTAAAAATTTGCATAGTACCAAAAGGAGAGGAATGTGTATTTCAGGTCATAATTTCATTCCTTTAAATATAAAGGAATACATTGTCAGATGTATTACATTAGATGCTTAAAGGAGTTTCTGTCAAGTCGTTTGGGATTTCACAGAGATTATTTAAACCACTTTTGTTCCTTCCTCAGCATGTGTGCAGCATCAGTGCTGTAGCACACTGTCAGTTGTATGTAGTTAAAAGAATTAATTCATAGCTCGAAGCCCACCACTAAACTAGTTGGTGGAACAAGGGTGGTAGTGTTAGAGCATCCTTGACTTGTATGAAATTCACAGCACAAAACTTTCTGCATGTAGTTGCTTGAGTTACCCACTTGGACAAATGTGTCTCTAACTATTTCTGGTTTAGAGCACTGAGATTTTGGGGGAAAAGAGAAGAGGAAAAAAAGCTGGCAGCAGAAGAAGCAAGAATATCAAACCTTTAGTGTAGTGGCTAGAGTATTTGTGCAAAGCATTTGTAAACTTGGGTCCTTATCAGCCTGAGAGGCATCAAATCCTCAAATATCATGCAAATGATGCAGTTCTAGTCTGTTAGAGACAGGAGTGCTTTCTACATTGAGGCTACTGTGCAGCAGGAGTCCTGGAGCCACAAAAAAAAAAAAAAAAAAAAAAAAACCACTGCACAAAAGGGATAAAATACCCTGGCAGAATGATAAAAATACTCCTCTGGAACAGCTGGGGAGACCTGAGGTCTAAATCCATCTTGGTCTGAAGGTTGTTTGAACCCAAGCTAAGGTCTAGGAGCTACCCTTTGGAAATGATAGTGTTCACACATCTCTGCACAGTTAAATAAAGGTTTTATGTCTTGTAGTGCTGGATTTAGATGCCTATATCCAATATCCCACCTCCAGTCTCTGTATTTTTTATGGATTTTAAGTAGCAAGTGTTGGTGGGTAAGGATAGCCTGATTGATTTTTTTCGGTGTATTTTATTTGATGTGACTGAAGTACACACTTGTTATAAAAATAGCAAGTCTAATACTTGTGTTTAAAATCTTTCCTGGGAGAACGTTGTAATGAAAGACTGGGCTTCTCTCCAGTACATATTCACGTTCCAAATCTGAAATGGCTTTGTAGAAAAATGATTTCCATAAATTCACCATATCCACTAACAACCAGGAAGCAAAGTAACAAATAGAAACCACCAATTTCCATCATATTTAAGACTGTAAAAATAGAAATAAAGATAGGATGCATTTAAAATGAAAATGTAATTTAAACAAAATATCTTAAAAATCTCTTTGCAATAATATAATTATTACTTAACTTAGATACCAGCTGGAAAAAATTATAGGGAAAGATGTTTTTATTTTTTTCTCTTCTTTGTTGAGTAGTGTCACACAAGGAACTAAAAGATCAAATAAATTTTTAGAACTATTTAATTTGTCTGCTCTCTGCACTTTAAGAGAGCACTTATCATGGGAATCCTGATTTTATATTCAGTGTGGACAGTCCACTTACATCTATGAGGAAATTTATGTTTAGGTCACACATATCATATATCAAAGATAGTTTTGTAGTTATCCTCTCTTTGTTTGGTTTATATTTGATTAACTGTGTAATTTACTGAAAATCCCACCAACACCTTTAAAAGTATCTTCACATATCTAAGCCTTCAATTTGAGTTGTTTCTGCTGTTGTGCAAATAACTTTGAAAACACAGCCTCAACTTAAACAAATACCTGTGCAAGTCAGAAGACAACACAAAATTATAGTTGTGAAACATTTGACCATTAACGCTTTCTACTTTACTTCAGTCAGGTAGAAATATCCTCCACATATCAAATCCTTCAGTTTCTTTTCTGACATTAGCAACATGCATCTTTGTTGTAAATATTTGACATTTTAAAAAGCAGTTTTGAGTTTCAGACTGGAGATATTGGGAGAGTATTGTAAGTTGACTTCAGTGTAGAAAACACACATTTGAAGGAACGTGTGTGAAACAGCCTGGAATCCTAAGAAACCAAAAATTTGCTTATTTGCACTTTCTGTTCCAGTAGCACTAAGCATTATTTTAGCCAAATTAGTTTCTCTGACCCTTTTTCTGTGATAAATTGTCTGTGTGTTTTGTGGAAACTGGTAGTTCACAGAGAGAGCCTCAAATGCCCTCACTGACAAACAGCTTGCAGGAACAGCTGAGGTACATTACTTGGCCTGGGAGTCAGAGAATGTAGGAGCAAGCATCATAGGATACCATGGGAGAACCATAGGAAGCCTTCATCACAAGTTCTACTGTTTGTGGAAATATAAGAAAATGTAGCTTGCTAGGATAGAGGGCCCCTGGAATCCAACCAGATATTAAAAAAAATGAAGTGCTGTTCAGCATAAACTTTTACCCAGCACGGAAATATTCTGAACAGCAAGAAAATGTTGTTTGTTAATGGCATGCAAGTTTTCAATGAGTCCAGTACTAGAGGGGCTGCAATCCTGGCAATTCATGGGCATCCTAAAATCTAAGCAGTTGTGAACGCTTTTATTCCAGGTTTTTTCACTTTCTGAAAAAGGGGTCAAAATTGTAATGGCTTAGGTATTTTCTAAGCAAGTTCAGGGATACCTGTGAAAGCTCTGAGTACACGTGTTACCCTGCAGTTAGCAGGAGCAGGGTTGCAAATCCATCTGGTTGGATCAGGGACTTGAAAAATTTCTTTGGTGGCACAGAAGTTAGAACATGCAGGGGGAACTGAGATTTGGGAACACAGAGTACCTGAACAAAGGCTGTGACATCTTAAAAAAAGGTGTTGTGTTTCCAGTGCCTTTGGGACTTCTGCAAATCTGGAGTTGCTGCATGGATTGAGAGCAACTCCTATGCTGTCCACATATCAACAGCTGAAAGAGAGGACACAGAAATATTTTTAAGTTCTTCTTCGTGACATTTTCAGACAGTTTTTCTTGCCAATGAAATATTGGTCCTGACTTTTTTTTCCTCCTCCCCTCTTCCCCCCAAGCCTGAAACAGATTAGTTGTAAGGGATAAAACCAGCAGGCAGTAGTTTTTTCTGTAGAATTTATCCTGTGCCATCTGCTGGTGATGTGAAGCAAGTGAACATTTCAAAATCGTCTGGATTCTCTGTAGTGCTGAACAGCTGACGACAGTAGAAGCAACAGGTTTCTGAGTGTCTCTGATCATCTTTAACTCAGGACAAAGTCATTTACTAACTCCAAGAGAATCAGCTGTACTTATAACAACATTTCTGCTTTTTTAAGATGATCATGCTTACTTTTCTAGGATTCTGTCACATAAGAACAGTTAGACGTGGTGTTGTAAGCATTTATCTAACAATACCGCTTCTGCCTCCCTCTGGAATTATAACCTAGCTCTGAACTACAGAAAATAATGGAATATTTAGGTTATTTTGTGGAGTTGTAAATAAAACACTTCTGATTCGCAGGTGTCTGCTATAATCTAGATTTCTGGCATGTGGGTGGGGTTTTTTATCATTAGAGGAAAATTTTATCAACTGAAATGTTATAATAACATTTCAGGTCCTCTCAAAGACTTGCATTCTTTAAAACGTGAACATTGTAACTTCAGGAAGTGATGGGTTTCAGGGTGGATCCAGCTATACTGTGAACACCACTTATATGTAATAGTGTATGGTAGAGAAGTATAATACATTTACAGTCATTGTGGAGACGGTAATTCTAAATCTAATGACTTTTTGCTGTATGTTTGGAGTTTTAATATTTTTGAAATAATTTAGCATTGATTGTCCCTATGTATGCTTAAATCACAAATTAGGAAGAAATGTACCACAAGGGGAATTTAAAATGAGCCATTTGAAATTGATGTGGGTGAGCAGAATTGTTGTCCTTTGGCTTTAGAGAAAACAGTATAAAGAAAAAACAATTGCAAGACAGGGTTGGAAAATCTCCAGTAGCATTTTCTTCTTTTTTTCTCGTTCCTGTTCTACTGCTGGTCTGGCAACTTCACAGCAAAGGGAGTGGGAGCATGATTGTTGCAAAAACCACCTCTAATACAGGAAAGACACAGAAGCCTGTACTCTATAAAGGCTGACTTCTGAAAGTATGAAATCCTTATAGGAATTCAAGATTGCCCTGGTACTTGTTGTGCTTTGTAAGAGAAGAGATTGAATCTATTGATGCAAATTTAGTGTCATTTCACACCAGTGTTCTAAGGGTGTTGCAGGTTCTTAATTCGTGTGCCACTTTTTAAATCACAGGTTGCATGACAGTGGTCAGGAGCCTGACAGTGCGTCATTATTTTCAGGGAGGAGATACAGAGCTTTTCATTCACATTCTTTCATTTTTCAGAACAACTGATTGTTTAAGTTTTGTTGTCATTTGCACTTGCCTGTAGAGTTCCCATTTTCAAGTTACCAAAAGATTGAATGGCAAATCAGATTTTTTTAAAGTATGTTCTCACTGATAGGATGATTTTTTATACAAGTAGGATTCACTTCTTTCAATCTATTAAGCTTGCATTTTAGTATAATACTAAATCAGTCATTGCCTACATACAGAATATTGTTCACATTAGTCCTCTGACATAATTATAAAATTCCATCTATAGAACTTTAAAACAAATGGGAGGTTAGCACTGGAACAAAGTTGTGGCCATGCAGTTTAATGACCAATGTTAAATTCAGACTAAAGTGATCTAATGGCCTCTTATGCTGTTTAACTCCCTGAACCAGGTGAAAGCACTATCCCTGTATCTTGGTGTTTAGATTAGGTTATTTAAGTACACTGTTGTATTTCAGTAATAATAGAACAATTAAATAAGATTTTTTCCCTCAGTGAAAAAGGTCCACTAGAACCATGGGTTCTTTGGAGAAAGATTCTAACTTTGTCTTTAAAAAAATACACTTTGGGAAATTTTTTTTCTAACTTTCAGTTTTTGTTTGACATTTTGTTAAAGCGAGTGAATACCCACCTGTTGTCATTCCCAGATGTGGTCCAGCAAGTCCATTTAAAGGGCATTTAAGTACTAAGAGTAATGGTAAGTAACATGCATTTTCATCAGAAGATTGACATGGTTCCTCTTATGTCAATTAATTTATTTCATTATTAAAATGTTATTATAATTAAAACCTTTGCATCAAGCTATTTGGTGAAGTTTAATAGCATGTAGGTTTAGTATGCATTAATGAAAATGCTCTCAAGGAGTAAGTTTTGCCTTGACTGTACTGCTGACTATAAATAAGTAGCAAGACAACCAGATATATAAAGATGTCACATCTGTGTTATCTGGAATATGTATATGGTTACCACTTAAAGAATCCTTGAGGTTAAACATATTCCTTTACAGTCTGTAGTTTACATGGGCTAGTATATGTTTCTGTGCTGTCTTTGCACCTCAGACACTTTGTTTTCAAACAAGCATGGAGTGAAGAAACAGGAAGTTTCCATGCTGACATTTTTGTCATCCAATTTCAGTCACTTTTGGAGCTATTTATTGAGTTAGTGGGCTCAGCGGGGAAAGACAAAGGAGACACGATGGTTTCATGTGATAGTAACTGGCAAAGAAAAATGGCTGTCATTGAGCAAAGTTAAGCACACTGTAATTTAGAGTTTATGACTTTGAATTGCAGTTAATAACAGTTTAAAATTTTAGTATTCTTGTTCTCGCCTTTGTAATGTTCAAATGTGTTTTAATCTTACAGCTTTCTGCATAGATTCATCTCGAAGTCTGACTAACCAATACCTCATCAGAGATCACATGGTATTTCATTATAACAGAATGCTTTCAGCCAAAGGTAAAAACGTGCATGTATGAATGAACTTTAGCTCAGTCCTTCAGAAGAGGCTCATATCAAGAGAGAATGAACTGGATTGTAGGAAGTGTACTATTATTCCTCTTTCTTACTAAAGCTGATGTCAGCAAGGAGATATAGCTGCTACTTAGTAATACTTTTGTATTACTGAGATTGGAATTTTTGTATGAAAACCTTTTCCTTAAGATGTTACCAAATATATTACCTTAACTTTAGAGTATTTAGTGCTTTAATGGTCTCATTCAACTTTTGATGATGTTATTCTGTGATTCTGATATATGATTAAATTATGAAATAATGAATTAATTCAATTAACCCTAATAATTAATAATTAATGAAATAATGCACTGAACTGAAAATTGTGGTGACAGTTACAATATCAAAGATACAGAATTTATTTTAGGAATGAAGGCAGAAAATTTTCAGTTAAACTCAGACCACTGTGTCTTTTTTATAAATTTTTTAATTTGAAAAATTTCATTATCTTTTGTTTTACTGCAATGAATAGTAATAGTGAGTTTTAAGGACTTTGAAAATCACTCTGTGTGTTTGCAAATGAGAAAATCAAGTTACTGGTAGAGTCCATGCTCACAAATATACTGTTATCTGTCATGTAACATACCCAGTAACATTGGGTATGCAGGTAAATGCCATCAACACAAAATGTACAGAAAACTTGTGTAAGGAATCTTTATTTAAGTGATGATTCTTAATTTAAATATGTGTTTTACCCAAACAGCTTTATCTTGCAAATTCTCTGCCTGTATTAATATCAACCTAATACTTTAAGTACATAGTAACTATAATGTTTTAAAATAGAGAAGAATTAAATTAGTCTTTGTTCTGTATTGGTTTATTGCTGGTTTTTTCTACCTCTCACCTATATGAAGTAAATATTGAATTATTCACATTTGGTGTTTTTCTTATTTTTAGCAGCTGTAGACTGCTCAGTGCCCAAAAGTAGGCTGACCAGCATCAAATGTAAGTACTTGTGATAGGTATATTCTGCAAAAGCTTCTGTAAAACTTACTTAACACAACAAGAGCCAGAGACATAAATAGAAGAGTAACAACAGAATATAATAAAGCATTCATGTATCTGCTTGTTTATTCAGCTTTTTGCATCCTTTTCCAGCTAGTTGTAAGCATCTGCAGCAAATGTAAGACCAGTGAGATGGATCCCATCTGTCAGTGATGACTTGTGCTTAGCATGACAGTTAATTTTTCTTGTGATCCTTTTCATCCACACAGTCAGATGAAAATGGAGCACATAAGGAGAATTTCAACATTTTCTCCTGTTGTGTGATATGATGTAAGCTTGAACACTCGAGAAGAGAGCTTACTAGTGCCAGGTAAAGAGGAATTTTGGGAATGTGGGCACCTGGGAACCAGGGCTGAAATTTCTTGTTCCCTTGTCCAGAAGACAGAGCCAATCACAACCATGCAGCCTGGACTAAACTGCAGTTAATTTTCTGCAAGTTGTCTAATTTCTTAACACTGTTTAAAGACACCATCACTGTAGCCTTACTTCATAGTGTTAGCCAAAGTGCAGTACTTTCAAGTAATTGATTTATGAATAACTGAATGAATACATATGTCAAAGTGGATAAATAGCAGCTGTTTAAGTATCAAAGGTATATTTCTGTTATCTGTCTGTCTTTAATGCAGTTAGAAAAAGTTCTTCGTTCTCCAGTTTCATGTCAATTACAACTGCTGAGGTACTGGAGAAAACTGAAGTACTCTTTTAGGATGGAAAGTTAAATCTTCTAGTGATTGAATACTTTGCGGTTAGTATCAAATTCAGTCAAGCCAAAGTGACTACTGTGTAAAAGTATCAAAACTAACTAAGATATCAATCATCCTTTTGGCAGGAAGACTCAATTTCATTAGCACTTTTTTCAGTACTTGTGCATAAAGAGTTGAGACTGAATTAAGCAATGAGCTGCACCAGGATCAAAGATGTTATGTGGGCTTGCCTTCTGCTTTCAAAAGGTGCAGGACAAGTAGCAACAGTATTGCAGGGATATTCAAAGCCTCTGATTGCAGTAGGAATTTCAGATCACCTGTTCTGCAGAGTCATCTGAAAAATGCCTTCTTTCTCATGTTCCACCTCTACTTAGCTTTGCTTTGAAACAAGCATGAAAATAGAGAATATTTACAGCTCTGTGTTTCTGTAATGAAAACCTCATGTAGCTTTTCTTTCTGCATCTGCTATAATCTTTTAGGTTCCCTAATCAACAATTAGTCTTCCATACCTTTTCATGTCTTGGGTTTTTCTCAACACCAACAAATGCCTGCTTATTTTAGAGTCTGCTGTCTTTACAGATAAAATGCTTCTGAGCTGATAGGTTGTGTGATTCACACTGGAATGAGTTTCCTTGAATAATGAGTTCATTTTGGGAGACAGCGACAGTGCCTTAACCTTAATAGATATTTGTCCTGACACTTGCAGGTGTGCTCCGAGTGAGGAAATTTCCATTTTAGATGGCAAGGCTTTGTGCAACACATTTCTAGTTCATCCTACTCAGACTGCTGTCTGACTATGTACCTCTGTCCTGGTCACAGACAGAACATTTATCTTCTGTACAGAGTGTGATAGAAACATTTCACTGTTGTTGCTGCCTTTGTTTTTACCCATCTATTTGGTAAAACTGGTACACTAAATTCTTGCTAAAGAACAAGCTGCTGCTGCTGTATTTTATCTTATTAGAACATGCATACAGTCAGCACAGCCCTAGAAGATGTTTCTTATTCATGAAAGAAAAAACCCTTGAAGATGGGGGGGGGGCAAATAAAACCTTTTATTACAAAAAAAATTCCTTGATTTACCTACAGTTATTCTAGCTTAAGACTTGGGAATGCTAATTCTTACTCAGTTGGAATATATTATATTCCCAAAATAAAGCTGGCTCCTAAAGTGAAACTGAACATCATAGCTAAGGATTTGGATCCTAGTCAGTAGCACAGGATTCATTTGGAAGAAATATTGAATTCTTGGTCTCGCAGAACTGAGTATCCATCATGGTTAGATGGATACTCCTTTTATCCTTAGATTTAGCTCAGTTCTAACATACAGTTTGTTTCCTTGATGTTCTGCACTGAGCAAAATTGCAAAATTATCAAGTGAAAATGAATGTAATAGTTTTTAAAATCTGTTTAACAAAGCAAAAAATAATGTTGTGGGTTTTTTCCCCTAAAAGTGGCTTCTCAAGACAATATTATGTCTCTGCCTCACTTCTTAGGTTTCACTTTTTGAGGTGCTTCATGTTCCCTAATAAAAATTAGAATGCCAAGTTAATAGAATTTTTATTAGAATATTCCTCAGTGTAGTGTTTTACTTTGCAATGCGGGCATCTTCAGAGTTTATTTGTCCTCCTTGAGCTTCCTAATCAAGATAGGACTTCTGCCAACACTAGATCAGTCAGAAAGGTCTTGGAAACCTCCAGGGATGGAGATTCTGCACCCTGAGAAAGCTCTTCCACTGTCACAGTATTTGTGGGTCTAAAAGGTTTTTTCCATGTGTCCAATTCAAACACTGTCAGGACTGCAACTAAACTTACTAGAAAGCATTTATCTTGGCAATTCCAGTTTTAAAAGGCAAATTTTGGATGGTGGATTGTAAGGGTTATAGATACCACAGCTTAAATTGTTGTTCCATGATGGTCAGTGGCAAAAGTGTCTCAACTGCAACAGATAGGTCCAGGATTTTCATGTGTGCATTTGTACCAGATACTGAAGATTATCCTTTCTTAACAAAAGCCTTTTAGGATTTCTATCGCTACTCAATGTGTGCATGTAACTGGTATTTTTTTTCTGACCTGCTTATTTCACATGTTGTTCCATCTGACTGAGATGACTTTGCAGATATGAAACTCCGCCATGCAGGCTGAAATTTGTGCAGAGAAATCAAAGGGATAATTCCGTAGAACACATCTATTTTCAAATTCATCATTAGTGGTCCCATTGTCTTCAAGGTATTTAAGGTTAAGACTACATCTTGTTCAGTATCTGCAGTATTCTTATAGACTCTAGATGTTTAGAATGAAATTGAAAATTATTTCAATTTTATTTCATACCTAAAATTAGAGTGGTTGCATTTTTTCCTACAGTTCTGTGCATTGTTCGTGAAGAACTACATATTTCTGTACTGTAATAATAGCGCAGCCAAATGTTACATGTTCAGATGTTAAGCTCAGTGCAACATATCATTTGTAGAGTCTCTGGAAATCCACTGGAGAATAATTTTTCTTCCTCTGCCTTTTGTGAAACAGATTAATGTGGAGATGATGGCCAGTAGCTCAGAGAGTACGAGTGTTGAAAATGTGCTGAGGAAGAAAAGTAATGGAAAAGAATTGTTTTGAATATTTTCAAAACAATTGCTATTTTCTTGCTGGAGATGGGACAGATAATTTATCCAGGCTCAGTTGCAACTTCAGCGTGACTGAATGTCAGCAGTATCTCTGTAGTGTCACTGAGTATGCGGGGTTTACAGCTCTATTCCCCCAGTAGTTCTGTGCCTGTCATTGCTTCAATTGAAGCATAGTATTAACTTTTTTCTTTTTGTATTCCTCATCTTGTTACTTATTGCATCCCAAATAAGTTTGCTGTTCCCCCTGTACTTCAAAAGAGATTTGGGCGGGGAGGTAAATTTTCAATTTGAAGTTATTAATAGCATAGAGTTACAAAACAGAATTCCCACAGATAGTGTTAAAAAACATCCCCTGAAAATGTGCTTCATGTACTGCTAAAATAGCAGGTGAGTATTTCCCTTTGGGGTTGTTGCCATGAATCAGTCATTAGTGTTTAAGAATTAAACATGATATTGTAGTTGGCATTCTTCCTGGACATCTGAATGTGTTCTGTCCTTAAAGTGGATTTAGTTTCCACTGTTCTTTTCCTGGTATCTTAGCTGGCAGCAAAGTAGGCAAGGTGCCATGTCCCTGGGCTAGCAGTGAGCATGTCCCTGTGTATTAGATCAGTCTTATTGACTTAAAATAGTTGTTAGAATGTGAAACTTCTTGAAATGTGAAACTTCTATGTTCAGAATTACTCCAAGCATGTTGATTGATACCAGTGGCCATTAGAAGTCTGTGGTTGTGGAATTTGTGCCAAAAAACTTGACAAAAGCTATGCCAAGTAACACAGCTGCTGCTACACATGCCTGGTTTCTAACGGTACTAACTTTTCAACCCATGTGTTCAGAGGTTTTTCCACAGGGCATATTGATAGTACAGACTGAACCCAGTGATTAGTGAGCTTGGGAATGCAGGTCTCTTTGATACTGGGGTGGGGGAGAAGAAGAAGGGAAAAAAGTATTCTGAGAAGTTACCCACTATAAATCTATTTTAGCCTGATGGAACTTGATTACTTGGAGGGAGGGTGGTGAGAGAGAGGGAAAGACAGCAGTTCAAATGGACTAGTGATGTTGTTTTCCTGCTCTTTGAGGAGTTAGAAATTTCACATAGAAATATCAAGAAATGCATGATATTATGTAAATGTGTATTTAAATCTTAATTTTTCATGTGAACACAATATATAGCTGTCTACCCTTTACACTATGAAAAGTAGAGGTCTGTGAAAAGCTGTCTTACATGTTTTGTTGTTGCTGCTGTTTCACAAAATCTCCCTATCTTTTTTTTCTGTTGAGTCTTCTCCTTACATATGTATTTCTTAAAATAAAAGTTATAAGCAACTAATATAAGCTTTTTAAAGTCAAACACTCAGATAATGCTAATGTTTGTGTTTTCAGAGTTCTAGTTTGTCTTTGGAAAAATGTTCTAGTATATTTATCAAGTCTGAATTTTTGGAGAGCAGGAAAACCCATTGGGCAAAAAAATCATTATGAAACTGTACTTTTATCTGGAGTGATTGTACTTTCTTTTCTTTCAGAAGTTGTTTACTTTAAAGTTTCTTCTATAGAAAAGTTTTATTTCTTTTTTTTATGAGAGGTAGTTTTAGATATGTTGATCAAAAATAAATTCTTCACAGTTTGCAGTTGTAAAAAGACATCAGATCATCTAGTCTGACATCCTGAGTTGAGCAGACCAAAAATTCCATCCAGTTGTGCTCAACAGGCATACTGAATGTGGTAAAAAAGCACATAAACAATAAAGGACTGAAGTCTTGACTTGTAAAGGTCAAGAAATAGAGAAAACATAATTTCCTTTTGTAGATGTTTCAGTAGTTAATCATCATTATTATTGAAAATGTGTCCCTGATTTTTAACTGAATTTTCCTAGCTTTACCATCTCTCTGCAGATGGGGAGAGTTGCTGTTTTTATACCATTTTCCATTACTGAGGATCACAAAATAGCTATAGCATAGCAGAGAACAAGAATAAAATGATGCATTCTGTTTATTCCTGGCTTCATCTCAGTACAGTGTGTATAAATTGTCCTTGGAGGCTGCCCTAGGAGTACCTTGAGACAAAAATCACTGTCCAAGCCCACCTAAGCCAGATGGACCTCTCTCTAGTGTACGCAAATAGAGGTTTACCTGGGCAGGCCTAGAAGTCTTCCACAGGGTTGGTGCAGGGTTCCACACTTTCAGTGTAGTAGACTGTTGACAGTGTTCTTCATGCAGCTGACAGATGTATATAGGGGATGTCTGGTCGATGAGGACCCCATATGAGGTCTGAGGTGGATGGATTTGGGATAATCCTGTGGTTCTAGCCTCTCTCAAAATGCCTGTGAAGGATTTATGTCTCACTGTTAGGCTTTATATCCAAGCATTAGCAATGACCAAATTTTGCCATTAGTAGCTTTGCCAAGCAGTGTCACATTTATGAAGTATATACTCTCATGCAGACATTACTTTCTGTTTGATACAAGCAAGTCTTTAGTAGCAAGTCTTTAGTAAATACTTTGTCACCCTTTTTTGTGGTGATTCCTCCCTTACTTGATGAAACAGTGCTACTGATAATGTATGTGAAGAAGGACTGCAGAGTTATCTCTTAGAGTTACGGAAGTTAAAACTTCTGTGTTAAGAAATTTAGATTGAGATTTATGAGAAACCCAAACTTCATAGCCAATGACAAAATTCAGTTTGCATTTCATGAGATCTGACCCTGTATGCTTAAGTCATGGTGCATTGGGGGTTTGTGTAGAGCTAAGAAACTGATAATAAAAATTCTTAAGGAAGAATTTGATGTGCTGAACACTGCTGTTATGGTTGCTGTAGGCACTCAAAGCTCAGCAGAAATGATGTTTATATGGTTTATCTAAAAAGAATTCAAAAGGGAAATAATAACCAGAAGTGTGTTACTGCAAAAATGTCTTATATAAAACACAATGGAGAAATGCTCAGTATTGGGTAATTCTTTTGGGATACATTGTTCTGCAAGCTGAACTCAGTTTAAATCTAACTTAATATTTCATGGTCTGCCATGGATTATTTACATCAAAATGAAATAACTTGAAGGTTAACTGCCAACTGTAGTGTGATATGACATATGATAAATGTAGGGATTGGAAATTCTGAGTAGAGGGCAACTACTGGCCTTCCAAATCATACTGTTCTTCTAAGTGCAGAGCTTTCAAGCTGACTAGGACTGTGGTATGCATGATTAGTTTGCTTCTTCCACATTTATGGCATTTTTTTATAACCCTGTGCATGTCCAGAAATAATGCTGCAGCCTAGGCTTAGGGAAAAAAGAATCAAGCCTATGGAGGGAGTGTTCTAATAGGGAAATAAAGCTTTGAAGTGAGAGTATTTGCTTAGGCTGAAGTGTTTCCTTCTATGACAGATTGATCAGTATTTAATAAGTATCTCATTATGGGGAATGCAACAGTTTAACTTCTAAAATTCATGGTCTTTCTTGGGCTTCCTCTCACTGGCAACAAAATTAAGAGAACAGATTCATGGAGTGGATGCAGTGAGTTACAGAATCTAGTTTCACAGACTGCATTTATCTGATACACAAAAAACAATACTTTTTATATTTTAATACATTTTCTCGTACTAGACATCTTTGTGGTGGTTTTGAGCACAGTAGTTAATGAGATATAATTAGTCTCAAAGTCTCTAATAAGGCTTTTAAAGGGACTCATTATTTGGATCTATAGACTGTATTTCTTTATTCCTCAACATTTAGTTTTCCCTTTTTAAAGAGATGAAAAATAACCCAATGGTTTTCTTTTTTTTTCCTTTATTTGTCACAAGGTACTTATCATGATGTACTTTTCCCATATTTAACTCTACATGTGTGTTATGTTTCCAGAGGCAATGTTCAGTTAAAGCTACTTGCAGTGAAATTATTAAGTATCAGTTAAGAAGTGCATTAACTCTTTTCAAGAAGGATTTCTCTATCTTGCTTTGCTGGATTCACAGTTCCTAGCTTTTACGTCTGATCTAGCCTGAAACTTCGTAATTTGGCAGTAAGACGGCTATACTTCTGGGATTTTCTGACATTCTGTTTTGCGTATGTGTGTGCTGCCTTTCAGTATGCATGAGTGGCTTTATGGCTTTTGGAACAAACTTAATGGATTAGCTGAGCTAAGCTCACTAAATTGCGGGTGCGAGGAAAAGACATTACATTTGCCATGCAGGTGACGGTAGTCCCAGTGGGTCATTCTGACATCCAAAGATAGCCTTAGCTGGCATACTTACTGTTCTTTCATTCTTTAGTCTTGGGCATAAGCCGTGCTTTGGGTAAAAAGAGTCCTAACATACAGTCCTAGAGGAGGTTTTTTTGTAGCTTTGAATGCCAGTAGTAAAGGCAGAATCTGTGCGTGTACATCAAATTTCAGACTTCATCCTGTAAAGAGCAGAATATTCTGTTTTGCAATAATATTCACATTGCTTTGCACTTTACCCAGACACTCCTGTTAAGCCATGGTATGCAGGTGGAACATGCAGTAAAGTCTTAGGCAAACCCACTTTTTACCTAAGCACCTGAGTGTAAGGAACTTGCAGTTTCAGGCACCTGCTTGCACTTACCTATACTTCTGTGTGATTTGCATTTTTGCTTTGTAGAGCTCTCATTCATGCATATTTTTTCCCTAGATATACATTCAATACACATCAGCCATCACCACTTTACCTGAGCAGTAGGCAAAACATGAATTTTTACAGCTTCCATGCATGTGCATACAGACACACTGTATTGACCCAGGATAAGTCATTATTCACCTCAAGCATATAAAACTTCTAACCTGTAGCTAATTTTTGAGGGCTTGTCTGTAACTTTTAAGACAAATGCAATTAGAAATAATAGTAATTTAGAACAGGCACATAATAAAAATTCAGAGTAGGAAGAAAAATATTGAGCTTTAAATATTTAATAGTACAGTATATTTTGTCCTTCTGTTACAAGGTGTATTTTTAATTCAGAGTTGTATATGTCGCATTTTTAACTTCAGCTAACATTTTTCCAGTAATAAGAACAACTTCATATTGTATATAGTCTAATAGCATATGCTGGATTAATCAATAAAATAAGTACATGTACTTAAATATTTCCTGGAGATTAACATGTGTAGGGTACATGTACACAGATGAATGCATTTTAAAGGTTGATTAAATGTCCTCAGATTGCTGTAGGTCTCAGCTGTCTAGAAAAACGTACCACAGCAATCCATGAAGTTATTTACATTTCCATGCATTAAGTATAGTAGTGTACGTGAAGATTGGGGTCTGGCAGTGTGTGATATAATTACATTATGAAACCAAAGAAGAAATTCTGAAAGGCCTTTCTATGTGTCTGATCAAACAAACCATTCATATACTTGGATCTGTGTTAAGTGACTGAGAAATGTGGTCAGGAGTTAACACAGGTTTCATTGAGCAGACAGGCTTGAAAAGTGTGCTTGGACTTGATGATCTTGGAGGTTTTTACCAACCTAAATGATTCTATGATACATATGTGACACCTGGGTGCTCACATTATAAAAACGTGGGACTGCAAGATAGATGATGTAGGTGGACTGGTTTAGCTGACTTGTACACAGAAAATTTATCCATCTTTTGGGCTTCTTTATCTGATGGCATCTGACTTATGTTCTGACACCTGCAGGTGGGGTCTTGGACTGCAGACCAGTGTAGACTGATAAATATTCCCCCATCCTGGTCTGACAGTGGCCCTTTGAGACTTTTCCTGCATTTTTTATGTTCTTTACGTGAACTTGCTTGTTTTGCCCTGGGTTTCTGTATTTGGGAGACTACTCTGTACTGTTAGCTTGGATTTTTTGTGTGTCAAATTTGCTAACAATCAACAGGGTTTTTTTCTGAAATCCTGGGTGAGAGTACTGTCAAAAGAGTTCTAGCTGTAAAAAACTGATAGCAAGCTTGTAAGTTTTTGAGCAGGGTGCTCTACTAGCAATTCTGATCTTGGAATTCCTGTATGCTGGTGTTCATTGTGAGATAAGAATACTTCAGGAAAGCTAAGGCACAGCTTCAGCTACCAGCATACTCTTCATTATTTTTATTCTAAGAATAGATGTAAATTTTATAATTGCCTTGTGCTGGAAGTGGAATGTATCTCAATAGTCTGACTTAACTGAGCCATTGGATACCACTATGATGTTTTCAAATCACTTAGGAAAAAAAAAAAGAATATATATTTCAGTTTGGATCTAACAATTTTTGCCTCTTCCCTAAGTTGCCGACCAGCAAAGAAGAGAGAAACTGAAAAAGAAGATAGCCAGGTGTGAAGAGAAAATGTGCGTGTGTGAAAGTGTCTCCCGCTCCAGCTCAAGAGACAGCGGAAGGCTGCCAGCCTCTTTTGGAAAGGTAGATATTTTAAGTTTGTTAAGTAGATACTATCATCTACTTGCCTTCCATAGCAACAGCTGATCACTGCTCTGCAGCAGCTCTAGAGTGAGGGCTGGAATATTTCACACAGCAGAAAATAGACAGCTGTGAGCTCCATATATTCTAACCCTTGTGTTACATACAGTAATCCCCCTGCCTCTTCTGCCCTGTTTGCCTCTCCTGAAGAGCCTGTAACTGTCCGACAGGGCACTCCAGTCACAGGTCTCAACCCACCAGCTTTCACTTATGCTAGTCATGTCCAGTCTCTGAGACCGGGCCAAAACTTGTTCCTTTTGCCGCAGGCATTGGTGTAGCAACATTTCAGATGTGATACATTGTAGCCAATACCTTGTGAACTAGATTGAGGGATCCCCTAAATGCTCCTTTTCTCAAGTTTTACCATACAATTTTGTGTCACTGATACCAGTGAGTCATTAAGTGCAAACTGTAACTGAGCCTTCTGGTAGAAGGGCAGGCAGTGGAAGTAATTGGGCTGTCATACCTTCATGCTAAAAATGAAGTCCTTTTTAAACTTTATTTGCCAATATACATTGCCAGTATACATTGGTTTCTTTGTTCACACACCAAGGGACAATTCCTCTATTTCAATCGTTAGGTGTCCTTTAATGTGTTGTGAGGAAGAATTAGACATGCTAATTGTATTTCTGTAGACCTTTTCATACAAGAACAAGTTAATTTCAGGATTTAAATTCATCTTAGTGTAACTTCAGTGACCCAGTGAAAGCTGCCTTGGATCTTTTATGTGAAAAACGATTTGGCAAAGTTTTTCTTCAAAGTTTGGTTTTTATAATGCAGCTGATACTGCAGTGGCTTTTGAGTTGAGAAACTAAACTTTCTTTTAGAAAGTAAAAGTAACTTTCAGAGAAATCTGGATTCTTTCTCTATGTTACTGCTTTTGCCCCTCAAATGACAGTAGTATGCTTTGATCTGTTTTTACTGAATTTTCTCTTCCACTGCGTCCATGAAGATTCAGATGTCCTCTCTATACAAGCATGGTGCAAGCACTATTCAATTTACCCAAGTTTTGTGACTAATAAAATTGAAGCATAAATATGTACTTTTTGAAACCTTTTAAAGGGGTTGCTGAAATGTATCATCGAGTAAATTTGTATCTTTGAAAACAAATTACAGTTGCTTGAATCAATAGAATAGGAACATATTTGAATCATAGAATAGGAACAAAGATATGAGTCAAGATTTTTTACTCCAAATTACAGTAGTTATAGTTCTTGATAGTTCTAATATCTAAAGCTATGATATTACCATGGAATAGTTTTTTAATTGTATCTGAAGAATAAAATGAAATATATTTTAATTACTGTGCTACTGTATATTTGTAGACATATTTTTGTCTTCTTTTTTTATTTTTTTTGTTTCCTTCCTAAACATCTGATGGTTTTATAGATAATGGACTAGAGAAGAAATTGAACATACTTGCTTACAGTTTACTTGCCTGTAGCAACAGAGGTGTACAAATAATCTTCTGAAGGTTTGGAGGTAAATTGCAGGCAAACAGCATTCTCTGGAACTCCTTAAAATCTTTTTGAAGTCACCAACATAGTTCCTTGTTCCTGATATTCTTTGGTTTTGTATTTGAAGGCAAAACTTCCTAGTTTAGGCAGTAAAGTTCTACCACAGGATAAGGACTATGAAAGACTTTCTTCTTTCTCAGTACTTGAATGAGGACATCTCACAACTGACACAAATACAGCTTAGGGTTCCAGTTCTCTCTAGTCCCTTGGTCTCTTCTACTTACAAAACATTTGAGGAGGAAAAGAAAAGAACTGCCCTAAGCTTCTTCATATGTAAGGAATGCTTAAATTTCAGATATTACTGCATCAATCCTGTAACTTTGTCTTGGTTTAGAATCAGCTCAGTGCTTCTGAGGAATAGATCGTGTCACTTTCATGAGGTGTATTTGAGTAATGGGCCAATATCACTTCATATCTTTTCTTAGTTACTGTTTTGCATAAGGCAGGGAACCAGTCATCATATGCTCAGAAATGCTTCTACAATCTGATTTATATTGCAGCTCTATGAACTAATTTAGTCACTGAGAGTAACAAATTTACAAGATAAAAATAGGCTACTTATAATATACAGTGAAGGATATGGAATTAGCTTTTCAAAACATCTATATAGGTGGATTCTGAAATTTTCCAGTCTTATCTGTTTTCTATAGTGCTGAGCTACCATTGCAAGAACTTTGTATGCAAACAATCACACTGGTAAGCCTCATTATACTGCTTACTAAGGCATTTGTTTGGCATTGTAACTGCATGTTATCAGTTCAGCATTTAATTTTGCTGTAGTAGTAAAATAAAGTTGGCTCACACCATCAAGAAGAGCTAATTTTGCTTCAGCTAACTAAAAAAATAGGTCTGTGCATTAGGCATCAGCAGCTGTGCATATTGGGGTACTGGAATAGTGTAGATAGGTCTTACTGATGTGAGAGAAAATAGTTGTGAAGGAAATATATGGTATGACAGCAGTGTGATCTGTGACTTAATTTTCATGGTAAAATACCTGCATTTTTCATATTCCTCTAAATGATGTTTACTATGTGCCACAAGATGTATATTCATCATATTTGAGCTTTAATTTAAAATATTAAGTGTTTGGTAAAAATCTCTGTTGGCCTTAGAAATTGAATCTTCTTCTTAGGAAACACCTCTACTTGTATACCTTCTCTTAAATCTTACAGCACTTCATTGCTGCTGATTTGGACCTATAGGAACTGCCTAAGTGTAAGGAAAGTATGATAATAATTTCAAAAAGATAACTGTTGGTTTTGAATTGTATTTTCTCAGTTGTTGTTTTATTTTAGTTATTTTGCCTTGCATTTTACTGATTTTGTGGTACAGCAGTGAGATTTTCCAGAATAATACTATCCTCAACTTATGTCCCTCACTGCTGCAGTGTAAGCACTGTCTCTGGGAGCTGTGGTGCCAGTTAGTTTAAGTGCACACAATGTGAGTCGTCTCTTCTCCATCATACAGTTGTGTGTAACAGAATTTCACAGTTATACATGTGGTTGAAATAAATTAGTTTATAGACAAATTTGTTTTCCGATAGGCTTCTGGCTTAATCTTCTAGTTCTTCAGAATGCCTGCCCTTGGAGATTGTAAAATATCATACATAATTTTCCCTGACTGACAGAATAGTCAGTGGGTGGCTCTATAATAGGTAGGAAAGGAATATACAACAGCTGTTTTGGTAAGGTGCTTTCTAACTTTTCAGAAACATTGTAAAGCACATTTATGAGTGTGCCTACCCTGTCCAGGTATTTATGCTTTGAAGTTGCAAATTTTTCAAAATTTTCTCTATGACAGAAATAAAATTTCTATTTAATTTTTCTCTCTCATTTAACAAAAAATAATAAATCTTAAGATGCCACTTAGAGTTAGTTGTATTTCTGTATTACTTGTCCCTACCACAGTATCATAATACAATTCAGGAATAATGTTGAATTTTTAAGCATGGGATAATTATGAGTAATGTCTACCTTACCTTCCCTGGGGTGATATGAACAGAGATAAAATAACCAGATAAAATAATTTGCTTCAGTGCAATGAATCCTTGACTTCTAAAAATGTATTGAGCCTTTGGACTAAAATGATTAAACTCTTGGTTTGATGTAGCCATCAATATTTTGTAACAGAGCACCAATGTTTTGCTACTGAAACAAACCATTTGCTTATTATTCTCTTATTTTCTGTGACTGGGTTTTAAAATCTGTTAGTACTGGGGCTGCTCCGAAACCAGTTTGATATTACAATAATTGGAAATTCTTACACAGAAAATACCTCCAAGTTGGTAACAAAAATAGTGGGAGTACCATCCTGAGCAAAGTTGGTGACTTGCAAAACAATCAAATGTTGTTTAATTTTTTTTCTAGAGTTTCATGGAAGAGGAAGACAAGGATGATTTCTTGCCCTGTGCTGGCCAGACACAGGACCTATCTAGACCACTGTCTCCTTATGGCGAACATGGCTTGGTTCACACCAGTACAGTAAAATATGCCACAAAATGCTCTCGGAATACATCTAGGGCATCTTACTCAAACTCAAGTATCACTACATCAAGGCCACCAAGAAACCACTCTGGACTTTCATGTAGTCATTCCACTGATAGTTTTGTGAGCACTAGTCATTTCCAGAGATGTCAAAGAAGCAGCCCCAAAGTATGCAGCGGGGATCTTCTAGAGAGGCACTCTGAATACTTCACTAAGAGCCGAAAACCTTTTACTCCACGCACCTTAATATCAGATGCTAAATCTTTCCTGTCACAGTACAGATATTACACTCCTGCTCGAAGGAAAAAGAAGAATCCCCGCAAGCAGCATGTGGAAGTTCAGACACAGACCGATGTGATCAGGTACAGAGATTGAAACTCTATTTTGAAACTCTGGAATTTAGATGTTATCACAGCAGTATCTTCATAAAAGCAGCATGTTTTGCTCTTATTTACATTTGTATTAGAAACCAGAATAATTGTTCTGAAGTTATTCTAGATATGCTGTAGCAAAAGCTAAGGAGGAACTGGTTTCATCTATACAAATTGGATATAAAGTGCTGTTAAATTCAAACTGTGGGATCTTACATCTGCTGGTGATAGTCATTCCCTCTCTCTTCCCTAGGCTCGCTCTAGTGTATAGTTGTGCTTTCTGTCTTGTTAAGAATTAACCAGTAAGCATGCAAGTAGTTCCCCACTGTTGTTCCTATAGTCTCATACTTTCCAGTTTGTTAATTAATACATCATGCAAAGACCCTTTTTTAAACTCTTGAATGAAGCTCTTCATTGTCTTTTTATGACTTGAATTTAAATACCTTCAGATATACCTTATATGAAATATTTTAAACAAAATTAGTGTCCTTGTCTTAGCAAATTGAACAGTTTTGATTAAGTTTTAGTTTTACTGATAGTACCTCCTAAAGAGAAATCTTTTCCCTTTTCTGTTGTCAGTGCCTGCATGTCTAACTCTGGTTTTGTCACAGAACAAATTAGGAATTTCCTAAGACTAGAATTATGATAGCTTCAGCTCCATGTTGCAACTGTTGTTTTTCTGGCTGGGTGTCATCTGTATTCCTGGTGCACTTTTAATTTTAAGATCATCTCCATTCTTAATTCTGAACAATTATTTTGGATAATTTAGCTATCCCTTGTCAATATGCAGTGAAATTATGGAGTAGGGTCACCTGTGAATGGCTATCGTCATCCTTCAAAATGAACTACAATTCAGCTTTATTATGTGAATGAAAGTCTTGCAGAAATTTTCTAAACTGTCCAGCACTAGGTTCTGTTCAGACTGATTGGAAATTTCCACAGCGGCACTGGTATTCTTATCCTGCATATTTTGAAAGCAGCCTACTTGGAAATCTAATATCTTTCTAAATTTTGTAGGTTTTCTTGTGCAGACACAGTGTCTGGGGAAAAAGTTATGACTGAACAGCAGAAGATAACACTGAAGGTAATAATACATCTATCAGTCATCTGGGTACTCTTAACCACACCTCTCATACCATCACTATGGGGTATGTACTTCATTGCTGCCTCAGCAGTATACAGCTGATTTAGGTTTTGTTTTCTCTATTGCCATGAGATGAGTTAGTTCTGTAGAGGAGAAAGTGTTTCAGAAGAATGAGTGGAAACAGTAAGAAAAAAATAGAGGCACATGAAGAGATATCTTGATTTTTTTTTTAATTGTTTCTATAAGCGCACTATCAAATATCTCTTAAGGTCATAGATAACTCGTACATGACTGTTCAGCAAAAGAAGGTGTGCCTTTTGTCTGTTTACCCAGAGTTTCTCAGAAAAGACATAAAATCTTTAGGGTTGCTTAATCACAGAGAGTTATTATATTCATTTTAATGATAAAATTTGTCATGTATTTGCACTGATAGTAAAGATTTTTACCTCTGTGTTGTAGGGTGAAGATAGAAGATATACTGCGAATGAGCCTGACAGAGAAATAGATGCTTGTCCATGCGCCATCTTAAGGTGCCTGATTTACAGCAGGAAGGAATATTTGAAGTGTTCCTCCTTGCTTCCTATACAGCTGGTCCTTAGGCCATAATCCTTCACTACCATTTCTCTGTATAAGTTTCTTCTCACAGAACTTCTGTTTGGTTGGGTATTTTACATAAATGGCCCAACTTCAAAATTCATTACTTTCTTATGACAAACTTCCACTGGGAAGCCAATTAAGAAAGAGAGCTCTAAAATACACGAGTATTTTTGTCAGAAGTGAGAGTGATGAAACGTTAATACAGCTGCTAGTTCTCTACATCTGAGCTCACACAGTAACTAAATACTGGATTGGTATTCCAATTGGTATTTCCCTTTAGGAAAAAGTGTCTGCAGGCATATGTGAGAATTGTAGACCAGAAGTATTTCCCACATCTTTTTCTGAAAACATAACACTGAGATTTAGAATATTGCTGCAAAAGCAGTGTTGGAAATCAGGCCAGAACCCAAGGGCTCTGAGCTGATTCTCCTCATTGCTGACCTACGTGTCTGCCTGACTCGCTGATTTGCTCTCTGCCCTTTTCATACAAAGGCATTTTTATCTGAAGAAAAAAATGTACTCTGAGTTAAAAAAGCACTCTTATGAACAGTGGAGGTCAAATAGCATCTGAAGCAGCACTGAGGTCTTTTGAGCACTGCATCTAGTGAGGTGTTGTAATACTCTTGAACCACAGTCTTTCAGGCGTCAGTGTAAGCAATGGATTTTGCTCCTGGAGCAGGGTTTGTGGGTGTTCTGGTGGCTTTTTTTCCAAAGGGAAGTGGCACAGCATGGCTCCAGAAGAAAATGAAATGCAAGGTAGTACAAAGGGAGTTTAAAATGTTGTTCTCTTTCTTGCCCTCTGATTTGCTAATTAGGGAGACATCGTTGACTTCTCAGAAGTCTTCACCAAGGAAGACTGTTGAGGCTCAGTAAGTATGCTTAAACCATTTTTCTGCTTATTTACAACATCAAACTAAAAGCTTTCCTCAAAACTGATGAACTTGAAACAGTAAATGAGGACTCAGGATAAACTTCTTCACAATTTGCAGAATTGATAGTACTATGAATTTTTATTAAATACTTTAAAATTTTTATGTGAAACTAAAAATGAAGAAAATTCATTATATTTTTTCATTATAAGAAGAAGGATAGACTTCTCTTCTTGTACAGTGACAGTGGTTTAACTTTCCATTTCTGATTTGCTCTGTAATCTCTGAAGCAAATATTGGCAAATAAAATACCAAATTGAAGGGCATTCTTACCACATTTCTGCACTGAAATTTGATGAGAATTAGAAGATGTTTGAGTTATATTCGTCCAATGCTTTATCAGGTGGCCTTGGCGAAGACATTTAATTCTTTGTGCTTTTGGACAGGCTTGTTCCTGTCTAACTTTAAGCATACAATATCAAAGATCAGGTATAGATATCTTTCTTGAGGGAACTCAAGTCTGGATGACAAATTTTATGTAATGAAAGTCATGCAAGATGTATTCCATTTTTTCTCTTTTTTAAGACTGAAGGATCATTCAGTAGAGTTTGGTTGGATACTTTGGGAGATTTCAAAAGATGCTGTGAAAGAGAAACAGCACTGAAATCTTTTCTTTTGGGGTTTCCTTTCTTGTTGTTTTTCAAGCAGAACTCCAAATTTAGAGAGTCTCCCATTTAGAGCAATTGGCATCAACAAGGCTTTAAGAGGTATCAAAATAGAAATAAATTTGTTCCAAGAGGTGAAAGTCACATCTCACACTAAAAAGATTTTGTACATCAAAGAGATGTGTTTGAAAGGAGTGGAGGCTGTCAAATAAGCACTTAAAACTTTCTGAATTTCTATTTAGGATTAGCAATTTTCAGCCACAGTCAGATTCTCTAGAAGCTCCTTTGGAAACCTTTACCCAGGCATCAAACTGCAGTTGTACAATTTCTTCCCAGTTAGCCCCCCTTTCTTCTTGAGTGCAAAGCAGGTTCTGAATGCATGCTTTCCAGGATTTGCTGATTCCCTCACTCAGGATCTCTGCTAAATTATATCACCTTTCTAACAGTCTCATATTTTGCAGATTGAATGAAAGGTTTAGTTTGTCCTGATAAACTTATCTTTTATGAAAAATAGCAGCTGCTACAATCTTTTTAATGGCCTTTTAATGGCCTTTCCCATGAAGATGATTAGACCTACTACTTTGTGTCATATATGTCTCTTTTGTAAAACATTTGACATTTGGTTTTCTATTCTCCCTGCAGAGAAGAGGAGCTTTTATATTTAACTTTCATTGAAGATGTAACAAATGAAATTCTTAGCCTTGGCCTATTTTCTAACAGGTAGGTTACCACTGTTTTCATTTTTGTAACACCGTGTCAGAAACACATGGACTCAGTAAGAAAGGGAAAAGGTGATTAGTAGTCATTTCTTTGCCTTTAAGAGTATATATACACAGTTGCCCCTTGCTTTTCTTTTGTTTCCTCTTCTGTTTTGCTTTGTGTAAGAAAGTGGAGCTATGAAATACCTTTGGGTCATCTAATTTGATCTGCTGCTATATACCATGAGATCAAAGCTTCTGTTAGACACTGACCTGGAACCATAGGTGGAATAATGCTAAGAAGAAATCATTTCGCTCTGCAGGATGTCTTTTGCTAAATTAACTGAGTTACTAATCTTTCACACAACAAATCCTTCATCTTCCTTCTTTCCTTATTCCTGTTCCAGTATAAGTTCAGTCTTCAACATAAGTTGCCAGGATTATATTCTGTTTTAGATAGAGGTTCACCAGCTGCTAAATCAGATTTTTTTCAATAATTAAACAATAAATGTATTTGAATGGTACTCCTAAATTCTTTTCCATATTGGTTTTCTGATAAAGAGCTCTCCATTTATGTGAAAAACCCTGCAGTATTTCTGGTAAAGAATTTTAAACCGCCTTTGTAATTGCACATTCAAAGCAGTCTAATTTCATAATATTCTGATCTTGCTCTGGGTTGATAATTTCCCTAGCTGTTTCTCTAGTCTATTCTCTTTTTTCTTCTCATGTATCAGTAAGAATGTTGAGTATAGTAAGTAAAAAAATTGGAAAATTTGGAGAGCAGTCTTCCTCTGGCTCCTTTTTACAGTCATGTTGTCTTCCCTTAATACCCTTCCTGCACTATTTTATTTTTTAATAGTTTCTAATGTAAGCTAGATTAAATTCACTTGACTTCCTGGAAGTCTGTTCCAGTGACTGTGTGTAGCAGTTATTAATATAATAAGTAATAGGTCCAAAAGGACCACGAGGACACCGATATGATGTGTAACGAAAGCATGGTTTATTCAAGGAGCCACAACTTATGTAGATCAGTTTCAAATGCTGACACATCACAACAGGTGACCTTATCAGCCAATCCCATACAAGCATTTCACTGAGCATCTGTGACAGAGTACTTACAAACTACAACTCCCAGGATGCTTTGCAGCACCTGGTGTAACTGGACCCCACAACTGTGTACTTTAGTTGTCACAGAACACTTTCTCTGCAGACTTTTTTTTTTCTCATTCTATTAAGCAATGGAAGAGAACTCTCAGGACTGAGGACTTTTCTCTGGATTTTTTTACCAAAGCTGGATTTTACTCTTTCCTTCTATATACTCATGTGTATGTCAGCCACTACGGTGGAACTAAAGAAATTTTGGATACTTTAGCACACCAGAGAACCACCACTGGATTGTTAGCATCTCCCACCATATCAACCCAATAGACCAAACACACACAGAGTTGTGCTACAAATCACCCTGTGGTTACAGCCTGCTGCCCAAAGCTGGGTCTGCTTGCTGAGTACATGTGCAGTGGGTTACCAACTTCAGGTTTGTTGCAGAGCATAGTTGAAACAGTCTTAGTGGTCCCATTCAGCTAAGAAATGAAAATAAAAAAAACTATAGTCATTAATTTATGCAGATCTGTTGTAAGTTGGTTTTATTGCTATGCAATAATTTGATCTTTCATTTGTAGGGTTCTGGAACGACTGTTTGAGTGCCATATAGAAGAAAATAAACACCGTTTGGATGAGGTAGGTGCTGTCCCTGTAACAGTCTCTCTCTCTGCATATGACTTAGGTGACGTTTCCAAAGTGTACTGGTAGTTTTGAGGATAAAGGTATCAGAACTCTCAGTGGGAAGCCTCTTTCTCCATAAACAAGATTTTCAGACTCATGGATCTTGGCAGATCAGGAGTCACAGGCACAGTGACAAAAAAGGGCAATATTCAACTGAGTTTGGTGACACTCACTCTGTAATTCAGTCACTTGATTGCAAGCAGCCTCTGTTTCCTTCTGTCAGAATTAAGCCCTGAGATGAGCAGCGCTCAGGGGCTGGAAAAGTGTCACTCTTTTCTTTCCTTAACCCCAGGCCAAAATGCGTCACATGTTGGATGTGCTGAAAGCAGACCTCGGCTACGGCCCCGACAGCGAGGCAGAGCAAATCCAGGAAGGCTGTGAAGGCTTTGACTCACTGGATCTGCAAGAGTTTGATACTGGGGAAGAGCTCGAGTTTACCAGTAAAGGTCACAGGGTAAGAAAAGCCACAGAAAGTGAAGAGTTCTTAGAGACCGTGGACTTTTCTTTAAAGGAACCAAAAAACTGTAAATCACCATTATGCAGGGAAATGTCAAAGGTGACACAGAGCATGGAGGACTTTTCGGAAGACATGGCAGAAATTATGGATGCTGGGACAGAGTTTGATTATTGTGTGAAATCTGAAGAACACACAGACACTTCACCCACATGTGAGGCAACGTTAAACTTGATTGCTTGTGACAGTGATTTGGAAGTCAGTAAGGAACTTGATGATCTTGAGGAAAGCTTTGCAGAGGCCCTTCAGATCTCACGTGATTATTTGTAATAGTAACCAAAACAGGAATAAAGCTATGGTGAACTGCCATTTGTCAAATAGAAGTAAATTATTTATTTTCAATTTATTTCTGTTTAAAAATTGCTAAGATCTCTCTAGCAGGATACTATAATTGGGCATTAATTAATCTCTGTGTTAATGTAGACTCTGAAGGGTCAGTTATCAAAAGAATTTTGTGTATTTTGCCTATAATTGTATAACTCGGAACAAACTTTTGAGAATACTAAAATTAGATTTATATTTTTAAAAGCTGTAATAGTAAGTTATAAAATATTTATTGTTTTAAATAAATTAATTTCTAGTGCAGTTGTACTCCTGCTATAAAGATCCAAGATTTTGTAGCCTGTAAGAATTCAACAGCTTAACATCAATTTAACATCAAACAAATGTCCTCTTCCAGAATGGACAAACAATTCCAGTATGTAGTACACCATGTTGGCACTCACAGAACACTACAAATGAAAAATCAAATTATTTCACAGGAAGAAAACCGACTTTAACAGAGCTACATAAATAACTGACTGTAGTTTTTTATTTTCATTTCTTAGCTGAAGGGGACCACTAAGACAGTTCAATCTCTTGCATTGATGACAACCATGGCATAGCATTCTGCATCAAGCTTTTGGTTTTGGAAAAAGATTGAGTTGGGTAGTGTTTGATGACTTGGACTATGTAGTAGAAGATACATCAAACACTTTGTACAGCAAGTGGAGAAAAGGTGGTGTATTTTATGGTTAAAGTTTAAATTGAAGTTGTAACACGCATTGCACATAGAGAGTACAGCTATTTCCTGGCATTCATCATTCATGTTACTGCAGAATGAGCTTAACAGGTTCTGGGGAGATGCTGGCAAGTTATATTGTCTTGGCCTTGGTGAGGAACTATAAGAAGCCTTAGGAACTGGATAATGCCTGTTCCCTAGTATCTTTTAGTGTTGGTTTTAACCTTCTTCCTTCAAGGACAAGCCTAAGTTGTACCAGTTCATACATAACAGGCACCACTTGCCTTCCCTGTGCCTCATGAGCATCTACCACAGACTTGATTCCATAAGTGAGATGACCAATTACAGCTGGAAGTGGCTCTGATAGACACAGACCACTGCTTCACTAACAAAGCATAAACTTTGGGCAAAAAAAAAATCTCAGAAGAAGTCTAGGAAAAGCCAGCAAGACAAAAATAACATTTCTGGCACAATCATCAGCACTGCAGTGCAGAACATAGTTCCCCAAAAATGCAAAAGCCACTTTCCTGGGTGCTTTGTCTACAGTACTAAATGGCACTTGTTGACAGTGACAACAGACCAGGGTTTATTTTAGCTCTGTACAGGTGGCTGGGCAGATGGGCACTCAGCTGGCTGTCGTCTTAACCTGGCCTGCAACATTTGGCCCCTGGCTCACTGAAAAGCAGGTAAGATAAAGTGAGGATTTTTGCATCCCTCTATCAGAGCCTGTCTTGTTGAAAAGATGTGGCCATGGGGCTGAGTCACTACAGTGCAGAGATGGGATTTTCCTCAATCACAAGTGATCACAGCCCTTCTCTCCCATTCACAAGGAAGCTCCCTATTTCTTACCCCAGAGAGCTGAAGGGCAGGATGCCCCTAGGAAACTATTGTTTCTGTTGTATGAAGAATTCTGACACAAAGGACTGGCTAGAAAACTAAAGAGCATGGTTAGATGTATATGTTATAGTATGCAATTATAAAGCCTCCTTGCTCCTCAGACAGGATTTGACCCATTCTTGGGGCCCTGCATTCCAAGTTCTCCATTCTTGGTCAGTATTGACATTTAGGGCGTTTCTTTCCTACCTATTAATACACTGTGATTTGTACATCATAAGAAAACATCACTCAGCAAACTTTGACTTGTTAATCAACAGGAGTCTGATTAAAGATTAATAAGAATTTCACATTTAAATTCTGTAAATGAAAAAACAAACAAAACACCACAGCAATGAAACTCACAGAAAGGCACAAATAATGACATACTCATTTCCTGTTGTATGAGTAACACAAAGCCAAATAAAAAAGTTCCTTGACCATATTTCCTGCTGATGAGCTGTCTGAACATCAATGACATTTTTTTCTGGGTAGATGGAACTCAAAAGAGGAAATAAATTCATTAAACAGACCTTTCACGAAGAAAGCATCTGTCTGCCTGAACTGTAACTGTGAACACTTATTGGATCCATAGTGAAGTTTCTGGTAAAGAACCAGAAAAATCACACAGCCCAGTATCCAGTAGCTGGAGCAGTCAACACAGTCCACAGAATTGGTTTCTCATTGTACAGCCATTCTCATCAGATACTGGGGAAAAAACATTCTAGATAAATGGTATCTATATAAGATCAGTTTACCTACAGATCAAAAGTAAATCCAGGCTGCCCTACGATTAAGACTTTCTTCCTTCTATTCACGTTTAAGGTGGTGCTTAAACTAGAAGTTGTTTAAGGAGCTTGATATGCAGGCCTGACTCTCATCACATAAGATTAATCGACAGTGCAAACTTTGAGGGTTTTCGGTTTGTTGGTTGTGGGGTTTTTTATCTCATCGCCTTTTACTTGGTGATATACTCAGGTCTTGGCACAAGCAGAAGCAGAACAAGGCAGTCACTACACCATTAGCAGTCTGAATCCTTCAGAAGTAGCAAACTTAGGAGCAGTTGGCAGCTGTGATATGCCACATAAAGACCTGTTTCTGCCCATATTCATGTGGGCAATGAGCACATGCATCATAACATCAATGTTTTCTTCAAATGGACAAAAGCCGCTAATGTTACTTTGCTCTGTAACAAAACAGCCTCTTTAAAGCTACAGTTTTGTAATCACTGTTCTTTTTTTCAAAGGTACGATTCTGTTTATATACAAAAGCAAAGTGGGGCTTTTGGTCATTTGAAATAAAGATTGATGGGATCAAAGAAAAAGGTGCTTAGATATCTCAGGGCTGACCAGAAAACAAAAACCTTCAAGCAAACCCCAAGCTGTCATTTAATCCCTGATGCAGCCCATGTGTAAGGCTCCTACACAGTTTTCATTTAGGCTTAGCTGCAGAATGAATTCAGAGGCCTGTTTCTCTGCATTTCTGTACACTTTTACATCATTTGTAGCTCTGTACCAATAGTTGTAAGAATGACGCAGCTCACCTGACAACATTTCATAATTCAAGTACAAATGGCTCTATCAGACAGTGGTAAAAAAGGACTACTTTTTTTCTCAGCAATGATATGTGCAAGGATTATGAGCAAGACAAATGGAACATCAGCATAAATAAAAATTAAGCTCAGGAGTTTCATTTGTAGCTCCTAACGCAGGCTGTTCCCCTGCAGTGACAGCACAGCTTCTAACCAAGGTATCCCAGTAATGCCCTTCCGTGCACAGCTGCTATTCCTGTGTGCCTAAGCTCCAGAGAAAGGCAGCAGCCCCAGGCCATAGCCCGGGGGAAGGAGAAGTAGTACTGGAAAATGAATGTTAAAGAGAACACAGGGAAAAGGGACTGGGAAAAGGGAAATTGTTACTTGTTCCATCTTTTAAAAAATGGTGAGATCTATTATTGGGTAGAACACAGGTGCAGAGTATAGACTGGTTAACATTGGTCCTCAAACATGTTTTAGAGCTCCCTCAGTTTTTCTACCTATCATAACATTTGTATTTTGAGTATTTGAGACCTAAAAATCTGTGAAAAGGAAAAATCCACAAAACTGTAACTTAAGCTGTACTTCAGAGAACTATGGGGAAACTCCAGCATCCCACTTTAGTTTTTGACCACCCAAGGCAGGAGCATACACTGCTAAGCAAATACAGGGCACTGCAGCTGCATGATGTCTCTAGAGCAATCAACCTTTCCTTTCTGGTGCTTTCCAGGCTCTTAAGCTTCTCTTTTCAGGACCTGACAATGTACACAGGTTACAAAGAACAGAACAGCAAGCAGTGATTTAAAAAAAAAAATATAATTTCTCACTCTCCAAAACAACCAAATCAGGTACTCACGAGCAGTCCAATCTTCTTGTTTCCTTTATCAGTAGAGAAATCGGCTTCATTCATGAACAACCACTTTCAGTTTCTATTCCAAATAGCAAAGCAAGTGATACACAAACAGGTGAGCAGAAAATTGATCTGCTGCACCAGTCATTGCCCCAGCATGGGTCACAGCCAGTCAAGGGATCCAGTTTCAGCACCTGTAGCAGGTTGTGGGCCAGCGGAAGCTGAGCATGTCACAGGGGTGAAGCATCACTGGGAAGGGAAAAGAAGAATCAGCAGTTATCACTGGCATGACAAGTCATCAGCTGAGCCATAGAGCACCCATACATCATCTCCATTTCAGCCACCTGAAAGAAAGCCCAGGAGGATTCCAGGATGTCAGCAGTTAATGAATAGCAACAAGAAGTGTTAATTCAAGTGAAGGGAACCAAAATTAAGGATGAAATGTCTGCTGTGCATGGGACCTTCTGTTCTCTGTAGAAAGCCTCCAGAGCAGTTGGGCTCCTAATGGGACCGATCCTTTTAGCTCACCACTTAGCTAATTCCAGCAGAGACCAAAGGCCAGGAGGTGTGCCTGACACCCAGGTGACAACACACAAAACATCACTTTTATTCTTTTAAAATGTGACACTGGGCTGTAAAAGACATGGCCTCTCAAACCAGCACCACGTTTTGGGCTGGAGGAATGACGGAGGTGCCAAAAACCCATCCCCACAGGGCACAGGCACAGGCTGCTGCTGCTGTGCCCTTGCTGCTCTTGTAGATCCCAGGCTTCAGCACACACAGTCTCCCCTGCAATCCTTCCAGCCCTACCACATTGGGGGAATGAAATTAGACCTTGAGAAGGGCAAGGAAAGGCTACATAAATGGAGTAGGGAGGCCTATGAAACTCAAGAAACTCAAACACAGCCTCAGCCCGGCAGGCCGCAGGGCTATGCTGTCCCATTCTCAGAGGACAGGCAGCGTGATCTGTAGCACGAGGTGCAGAGCTCTCTGCAGTTATCCCAAGAATTCAGCAAGCCCGTAGGACTCCCCTTACAGTATCTGCGTGAGGGCTGCAGCATACCTTACATCTCTTAGCAGCCAGAGCCTGAGTCCAGATGAGTAACAGAACTGTGAGATGACCCCAGCTCTTCCCGGTATCTGTTTCTCTCACTCATAAGTATGCTCACATGCCAAAAAAGTGAAGCAACATATCAAAGGCCATCAGCTCTCCTGTCAGCCTGAGAATTCCTTGTAGGAACTAAGAGGTCTCTCCAACCAGAAATTCAGCTCAGAGGCATTTGGCACCCTGCTTTTTCCCAGCATTTGACACATGTGAGACCAGAGATAACACATAGCATAAATTAAAAAATTGAGGCAGATTTCTAAGATTATAGTTTCAACTTAAATTGCTCCTCCTAATTTAGAGAGAGAAGTAAACATTTGGCAAACAATGGAATTTCAAGTGATGGAGACCTACAGCTTCTGGTCTTCAGGAGAAAATTTTTCAAATACAGAGTGAGCACTTACCATTTCTGGAGGCTCAGAGACAGTCACTTCAGAACAAATGAATTTATTTCTGTACTGCTATGATACAGGAAACTCAACCCTGATGATCCTGCTAAAATAGTATCTTCCACATTATTGAAGTAAAAACAATCTATCTTCTGGTTGCATCGATTCTTTTGCTAAAGATTTTGTCAATGGAAAGACATTTGCAGCATCAATCAGTTGCGAAGAGCACAGCATGCAGACAGAAGAAATCAGATCTACACACAAAGTATGCAGTTCCTTCAATCACTGATTATCAGTATTAGCCAGGCTTGACAGAGCCTTTCTTCACTTAACACCAGTGAAAATTATTCATTCACCTCTGGGTATGATGATTCAGGGACTGTTCTTGGAAGGATTTGATGTTCTTCTTATGTAAGGCACACGATTGTCATTTTAGAAATGGCTAATAATAACTACCTGAAACTCATCTGCAAGCCCTCCAAGTCTTTTCTGGTTCTTTTGTTTATTACAGCCAATATTTTAAATCCATAAAGTAAGCGGGGCAGAAAACAATTTGGCATGTGGGGAATGGCAGACGTTTGGTTTAAATTTAGGTGTCCATGTGAAAGATTGCCATCCAGATCAGTTTGGGAGATGTGACTGATCAGAAAAGGGGCAGCATTTTTGTAAGCTCTACCCCTTCTAGCTCCCACATCTATAATGTGCTGTTTTACAAGTGGAGAGCCCAAGAACTCACATGCTCCCAAGTGCATGCTTTAGAAAAGTTCCCAAAGAATGCCATGAGGTCAAATGTTGCAACATTCCTTCAACCTGTGCAACTCTGAAAGATAAAGAAGTTTTGTTACAAAATAGTCCCAGGCTCATCTATATTCTACTTACACTCGGTTTTAATTAGTTAGGCTAATTTAAACTGTAATAACAACGGCACTAGCATTTAAGTATGAGAACCACCATTTCCCTAAGCATCATGTTCCACTGGAGCCTCAGAACTGCCATGCCTCAAATAAGATCTGATGGCAGAAGGTTCAACTTCAAAGAGCCAGACTGAGCCAATGGAACATACACTGATACGAGATAACCTCAGTTCAGAACCCATGAGCATCCACCTGTCCCCCAGTACTCAATCAGCTCCAGTTCTCCTGCAGCACCATTCTCACATCAGTACCTGCGTGAGCGATATTCCCGTCATACTCACAAATTGTGATCCTCCACAAGCAGTTCTCAGGCTGCAGGAAGCAAACTGGCAATGTTTCTGTGGCACTGAGCAGCTTGTCTTCATACAGAGTCCAGTATCCAGGGATGCTCATAAAAATGGTGGAGAGGGACATCTATATGCTGTCATTGACCCCTCAGGGAAAAGGAGTAGGTGTAAGGAAATCTCCCATCAGATTCTATACAGAGCAATGTGTACAGAGCAATGCAAAACTTCCAGCTAGGTACCAAGCATTGCTGAGTTTCATGTAACCTTCATGCATCCACGGCCATTCCCGATTTAAACAGCCCTAACAGCTGAGCAGGAGCTACTTTAGGGGGTAGACAAAGCCCCAGGCTAGAAACCTCTCTCATCAGCTCCCCTGAGTTTCTTGTGTACCATATCCAGGAACTCTTGCCTAAGAAAGCTGCTGGCTGGCTGTACCAAATCCAGTGATCAAGTCACTTCCCTGTCAGCCAACTCTGGCCAACAGGAGGCTCTAATGGGGATTTTACAGTGCCTACAGATACAGTTTAAAACAATTTGGATTTAGAGGAAATTTAGATTTCTGAAGGGACCTTTGCCTCAGGTCTAAACCCAGTATAAATAATAAGTCTGATCAGAACTGCTGGGTACTTTTATCAAGACCCTCTGAACCCAGGAAGTCCCATTTCCCTCTTCTGATTTTGAATCTATGTCAAATAAAAGTGCTTTGCTCACCCTGAATATTACTCAAGACATTCCCCCAGACTTGAGAACTGATCAGATAAGTGCACAGACAGCTGGTATGTTACTGTCTTACCTTAAACTAATTAATGCCATCAAATTGAGTGCACGTAGAAGACAAAATTTTAGTTAAAAGCAAGCCAGATTATATCAGTTATAGTTAGGTGGACAATGCACTAGGCATTGAGCAAAGACAAAGGAAATGTAACTGTCCAATGAAAAACTGTAATGCCCGGTATTCAATTCATGTATCATGACATTATAAAGTCTCGTGCTGCAGCAGGTGTGTACAGCAAGCCTTTGTACCACCTACCTTTTTAAATAAATGCCAAATATAAAATGAAGAAAAACTTCAGTGTTAGTTGTTGGTAGCAGGTCCAATCATACAATCAACTGTTTCCTCTCACATCCTTTTGGAAAGGGTTCTGCAATTCTCAAAACATTTTAATCCCTCCTACATTAAAGGTTACAGGGAAATTGAAAGCTCAGTACCAAAAATGGCTTCAGAAAGTGCGAAACATTGTGAACAACAATGACAGGGCAGCAGGCACAAGATTTTCCTACTACAAAGATAACAGCTCTTAGTATTTGACGGCCTAAGTTTATATCCAGTACTTGCAGCACTTTAGAAGAGGGATTGCACCTTTGTGTACTGAAGGCAAAGTCCCAGCTTAGCACTGCACATGAACAGTAAGTTCTCAGATTTTTCCTTTTAAAATGGAACAATAAAAACTCATAGCTGCTTCAAATATTTATTTCCATGGCAAAAATAGACTATAATATATTCGTTTCACATATATTACATTCAGTAATACAAGCTTTTCTCTCTATGAAACACAATTTATACATTGTTTTACAAACCAATTTCAGTTTTACAAGAATTAAAGCTGGTTTGATTATACATTTTTACAATATTCGTGACAAGACAGCAAAAATAGACATAAACCACTAGCTTGGTACTAGAAAATAATACTTCATGTTTGCTACTGTTTAAACAAAGTCCCATTTAAATCCTTGCATACTGGCTCAAATGAAAATGAAGAAAATGGAGCCAGATCCCATGTTCCTCTGACATTAAGAATTCAGTCCTACAAAACTGCTGTTGGGACTTCAAACACCCATTTGCTTTAACTGAATGGAGAGATTTCAGCAGTGTGCAGGAGAGTACATGCTTACTGACTTGCCAAATAAAGCCTCTAAAATTTCCATCCAAGTCCTCAGATAAGCCATAAAGAGGACAGGCACGTTGGGTATTTCAAAGCAATTTAAGCAAGTATCTTTGTAAAGAGCATACACACCTTGTCTGTCAGAATTATCCAGGATTAGCAAGGTGACATACTTGAGGATTTTTCAGGGGTTATCCCCATCAAGTTTCCTACCATTTTAAAAATTAATGACATTTGCAATGTCTTTAAAATATTAAAGTCTCCTAATTTCACCTAAATATTTCCAAATTGAAAAACAGCATTTAAATTCCCTTTATAAAAGTTAGGCACCTTCTGAAACTGTACTCGTAAAACTAATAATTTGGTAGTTTGGATTGCTGTATATCTGAACCAAAAGAATGTTACAATATCTACAGACTTGCTCTCTGACTTGCCACAGGCTGGATCTGTGTAAACTCTGTTCATCAGATTCTTTAAATTTGGTTTCTATCTTCATCCCCTAAGTAGGGCTGAAGAACAGACTTCTACAAAGCAAATACCCTGGATATTATTCTGCCCCACTGAACGCAGCATCATGTGGAAAATAGCAAAGAATAGAACCAAAGGCTATTTAGCAAAAGTTTTTGAAATGTTCATTGAAGTTAACAAATTTTTTTTTTCAGCCCAGTTAGACCTTAAAGTAACATATGTGCTTCCAACAGAATACACCAAGTTAGCTGGTCCCCAGCAGGATCTTCCTAAGAAATGTTATTCTTTAACTTGTTTTTACAGACATGTTTGTAACAGCAGTTAAAAGTTTAAGATTTTTTCCCTTACCTTAGCACAGTATTACATTATTTTAATGTACCTGCTTTGCAAATGCTGGACTGCAACAGAACTTCTAAGCATATGTTAAATTCCGTATTTCAAGAGCCTCTTTGTCAGCCCGGCCTTACCTTGGTGCAACTCACACCAACTGTAAACACCTGGCCTCATTCATAACATATTCAGACTTTCAAATCATCTCACCTGCATCCATTAGAAGTCATCACTGCCAAATTACAAAAAAAAACGCCTATTCCCCCTGCATTTTGCATCTGTAAAACCAGAGGCTGTGGTTTGAAAAATCTGACCTTTAATAATTAAACAGAAATTGAGCTGACAGATTTTATTCAATACAGTTGGAAAGGAAGATACGTAAAAATAACAGAGCCTCTGAAAAAATATTTGGAGTTTTAAAAAAATCACATTTTAAAAAGCCAGTAAAAATAACACCTATAACTGCATATTCACTTACCCTACCATGCCATGAAAAACATACCATATGACTCAAACCTTTCTAGCAGCTCTGCTGTGGATACAAAACATTCCAAATCCTCCTCCAAATGCCTTCTGCCACTCCTCAAATCCTCCTGTCTATGTCCAAAATTTTGAATTCTCTTGTCCAAGACAAGACAATTTCTTCTGAATTCTCAGCTACTTTTCCTTTGAATGCTGTACCTTCCTGTATGCACATTCCTGCTGCATTCTTTTGGTTAATTCTTGTAATCTGTATTTAAATTTAAAGCAGACATGTGAGCATTCATGCCTGAAGGGCTCAAGCTTTCATTGGCAATAAGCCCATTTTAATTCCCACAGAAGAACTGCAGGAATTTTGCATCTTGCAGGACTGGACTCTGGCTTTGCATGACTTTGCAGTATTGTAAGAAAACAAAATCAAAACCACCCTAAACTCTAAAGCACTGAGTTCTTAGCAACTGAAGCACTGATCTTTTAAATTAATAATTTGAACTAGCTATTGAAATATAGTAATGGGTTCACTATTTTTAAGTCCAGGGATTTAATAATGCTACTGATATTAAAACTGAGGTCTCATTACACAGCTAGCTTGTATGATAAACAACCCTGCAGCTCCCAAGTTTGGTCCAGAGGCCACTGAAATCTATGAGCTACTCAACTTTAACAGCTGCTCCAACAGGAAATATGTAGCAGCAGCTTCAGGTAGTCTTACTTATTAAATTTAAAGGAGCTATTTTGGAGAAAATTGCTCCAAGTGTTGTCCACTTCAAACAGATACACAGAGGATTAGATGAGAAACCAGAAATAAATTTCTCAAAATGTCAAGAATCTTTTCCATTTTAGTACAAATTTATTTTACTTTTATTTGTTATTACTTTATTTTACTTTCTCCCCTAAATCTTGATGATAACTAAAAGCAGCTCTTCATCCACAAAAATACAGGGACCCTGCCTTGCTCACCTGCTTTGGATTAAATATATTTCTACATATAAACTGTAGCACCCTGCACTTGTAGTGTTTATTGTTCACTTGTGCAAAAGGTATTGCAATGAGTGCAACACTAAGGCTTAAAAGTTTTCCTGCTCTTCCCAGGGTCCAGCAGAGAAGGAGGGCACTGCTGTGCAGGCTGCAGAGGCTCTGCAAAACTCCCCAGTGTGGCACAGAGCTTCTTCCTCACCCAACAGGGCCAGGAGGGAGCTGCAGGCTACAGATAATCCAGCTAAGTCAGTGATATCTTTGCAATGGACAGGGCTCTGACTTAGCTTCTTAGAGAAGAGCTTCTAGCCCAAAACTACAAAGATTCACTGGCCAAAAATCTCCCATCAGAACAACCAAGAAAGAAATGAAATGTGCAGAAGTCCTTGCTACAATATGCGGGTTCTTCTCCTGACTCTTCGTAAAATTTGATCCTAAAATGCATCTTCCACCTAGCCAACAAAGACAGTCAAGTCTGTCTCGACAGTATATAGCACCTTTATTTGTCCCTGAGAGCTCTGACATCCCTAGAGATCAGCATCATTTTTGCCATTTACTGCAAGAATGTCTTCATACAACTTTTCTTACTAAACAAAATCCGTTCAAATCTTGCATAATGATCTGGTTTCATCCCTGTAAAAACAGAAACACATTTGGCAAAATGGACAGGCTTATAGTGAAATTTTAAGCTTTTGACAAATAAACCCACCTCCGACTCACACTGTGACTGGATTTGGACAGTGGATGTTCTTCTAACGTCCAACGCTTCATGAAGCGCCCAGCACAACTACAAATAAAAATTCATCCCTTTCCAAGGCTCAGAACAAAGTGCTAAAAACTGAATTGTCTTTTATAAGTTAACTGAAAATCTAAACAATGGTTTTAAAAATCATTTTGTTACAGGGGATTGTGAAGTATAATTTGATTTGGTATCTTTAGAAGAGAAACTGCTTGTTTTCAATGCTCACTCAAAGCCTTATGCTTACATACAAACACAATCCTGCACTCGTCAGCAGGAAAGTTCACATGAAGTCAAGTCTACTAAGGTCAAGTCTATTAAGGCAAAAACAGACTGCTGATGGACAAAACTGAAAGCTGAAGGGGAGGAGGTAGCAGTGTTATGCTTAAAAATAAAAATCAAGACTGTGACTATCATATTGGAGAGCAACTGCCTCTAAAAGTGAACACAAATTCTTTCAGCAAAACAGAAACAGAAAAATAAGCCAAAAGACACACATTTCCTCATCCACCTCAGATAATCCTATAAGTACTGGATTAAATTGTTTCTTATAACTGCTCCTTCTAATGCCTAGAAGCTGATATTCTGTTCCAGTAACTGCTGAACAGCTGAAAGCTGTTGCTTGAAGTTCTAGTTGCCCATCATGTCATTAAAACTGTATTTATGAGGTTATGAAGATCACAGTCCAAAATTTAGACACAGAAAAGGTACAAGCTACATTTTAGAGCCTGCCCTTCCATTTAAAAAGATTTCTGCAGATAGCAGTAAACTGTGGCAAAAATTAAACATGTTTTTAAAACACAGCATGATACAAATAGCTAAGAATGTTGGTTTCTTTCAATACGTCTTTCAACACAGAAATGTCAGCTTGGTTTGTTTGCAAGATTTATATGTAAAGAATCAGTCTTTGATAACTGGTTTCCTCTGGACTTCCAGTTTTACATTTGGCAATTAATTATTCCTAGGAAATTTATGTAAGAACAACATTTCTTTTCCCTAGTCTGAAATATTCGATCTAACTTATACTGAGAGTACAAAAATTCAGACTGCCTCCAAGCAGACCTAAAAGCACCAGATCAATACAGTGTGCCTTAAAGTAAAAGATTTTGTACAGAATTACATATTAGCACAATGTCATTTGGACTGTGTGTTTTGTGGAAGTAGCTTATTATAGAGAAAATTAAGGCAACCCATCTATCATTCTTAATTAATGTTTTGGGACACAATTATTATTTTGAAAGGGTTTCAATAGTTTCCAAACCCTTGTGAGAGCTCAGAAAAATAATATAATTTCAGCACTGATAAAAATTACTTTTAGTTTCATTTCATTTCATTTCATTTCATTTCACTAAGCAGGTATCAAGGGAAATGGACACTTAAGCATTCCAGCAGACTGGTCTACTATAGGGTCTTTTTGAAATTAAACCAGATATATAAAAGTTATAGCTCATTTTTGAATAGGTTTTCAACTCAGCATCTCAAAAGGCAGCTAAAACCATACTGTCCCCACCTGAAAACCACAGACAGAGGATTATTTAGGGATACTGTCATTAGATCAGCCTCCATGGGACAAAATAGAAACTACCAAAGGCATGACTCATCTTCAGGTCCATGCCACAGCCATTGACTCAGCCACCTACACAGCTACTAAAATACCCACATCTCCAGTGTTACCTCTAACAGCTCTTACACTCTACAAGTGTTCTCAAATCCTCTTCTTTGCAATGCTGCACAGCATTAGCAAAAGCTGTTCTAGTGCTGACAAAATAATCTGGAGGATTCTACAGAAACTTCCAGTGCTTTAACGGCTTTCTTGGCTGGGAACACTAACATTTTGAATAGTCATCTTTGCACTGTGTAAACGAGCAATCACAGCTGCCACACCTCCTCCACTCTGCTTCATACCACCACTTCTGCTTCACCACTGTGCACCTTCTTACTCCCATTTTGGTTCTCTCATTTCATCAGCTTAAAAGCCTCTTCCTAAAATATCAGGTTAGTAATGGTATATTACCATATGCAACAATGCATGATTATATTACCTATGTTTAACTACATAAATAACAGAGAAAAAAAAAAGTGCTTAAAACATTTGCATCCACTTTGATTTCAGCCAGTAAAATCAAACTGTCCTCTAAACATATGAATAATACTGAATATGTACTTTCATCCATTTGTTTCCAATAACCTCGCAGATACTTAAAATATTTTTCTCCTGCTTGTTTCAGGTAGAAATGCCTCCACTCAAATGGAAGTTACCAACAGTTGCCATTATCTTTCACTTGTCAATTCTATTACATGGCACTACAACTAATTACCAATAGCTTCCCCTAGGACTTTCTGCATGATTTTTGAAAAGTTTTTTCAAACACTGTCAGTCTTCTCCTCTGAAAATATTGTTCTGTTTCAAAAGTTTTGTGTTGTGGTGTTTTGGGTTTTTTAATTTAAAAATTATGAATATAAAAATAACTGTCATTAAAGCAACAGCTTGAAATATCTAAGAGCTGCCAATTTTTCTAAATAAATCAGAGGAAACCAAAAGTTCGTTTTTAAAAATATAGATGTATTGTTCTAAATATAAAATTGAAAGCAGAATGAAACTGCATAAGACCTTGACATTCCCAAGGAGCAGGTTTCTCACTCCATGTGCTCCTACAGATTTTAGCTTTCACACAGTCAAAAATTATGTTTCAAAACATAATGTTAGTAAAATTGTGCTGTGTACTTCCATTCCATGATATTTTGCCCAGAGTAACACCACTCCAAAGAACATGTGTAAGTACTACAGACCAGTGAAATTCTTTCTTAATATGACTGCAGCTGAACACGGGAAGAATTTAGTCCAGCGAAGATCCTACTTTGTAGGGACTGTTACACTGACTCAGGTTTAACAGGTACACAGCAGCTCTAAAAGATAACTGTGTGATTCATCATACAAAGAAAACACCAGGTCTATCTGGACAACTGTGATTTCCTTTCTGTAAACTCTTGCAGTGTCCCTTAGGAAGTGGCAGGGATTAGATAAGTCTAGAACTTTTGAGAAACTGAATGAGAACTCCATAGACAAAAGTGTACTGCGAAAGAGTCTGCACCATCATCATTCTCTGCTGCCTCAACATGTCCAGCACTCGTGGGATGTCCAGCATCTGAAAGAAGAGAACAAACCATTACAAGTGACTGGTGAGAAAGGAAACTGGGTTGCACTTTCTCCGCTGGAGGTTCAGAGCAGTACCTTGGTGATCTAAGGGCAGCTGTTCTAATTTCATCTCTCACAATTCACTGCCCATGTCTGCAGTATGGACTGCAGTACACCACTGATCATCTGTGAAATATGCAGAATGGTAAAGATACCTATCTCATGGGGTATTGGTCTTCACAAATATAATGGCTGCAAAAGTCTGTCACAGTGTTAGGACAGCGATGCCCAACGAAACAATAAGCTTGTTGAGTCTCAGCTGGCATATTATTAATAAACGCTTTACAGCTGTTCACTTCTGGTGAAAAGCTGATAGGACTACGTTTTATTCTATTAAACTCGCACTTCGTCCTTTGCTGAGAATGATACTACAAGTACACTACACTTAGGAACAAAATAATTAATAACAAGCATAGAGATTGCCTACAAAGCATGTTCTTGAATATTATCTGTTCTAATTAAGGCAAGAAGTGGTAAAGTCAGGACGAAATCCTGAAATATGCTCAGTAGGCTAGGGCACACCTTGTTCCACTCAGTGACTCAACATCTTACAGAGTCAGGAATCCAAATGAGCATTCCAGTACCTGGTGTGTATGTGGGCAACTCTAGAAGATTATTAACTTCTGTTGAATTTCCAAGAGCTCTTTCTGCTCAGATGAACAGCCATAAAATATTTTAGGCAGGTTATTTCCTGTTCTACTACCTAACATTACTGAAAGCATGGGAAAGAAAAAGAGATCACCTCATTGTGTTCCAAGCAAGCAATCATGATCTCTGACAGTATGACCACTCCAGTTCGCCCCACACCTGCACTGCAGTGCACCAGTACAGGGGGATTGGAGCTTTTAGGATCCGCAGTGCTGTTCGTGTGGCGCCGCACGGACTGTATCTCTTCCAAGTATGCTATTAAGTTCAACGAGATAAGAATAATTCATTCAGGAGATGAAGCCCCATAAGCCATGCTATTATGCTGTATGACCACCAGAAAAGTAGTAATTTAACAAGTGACATCCCACAGAAAAATAGATTATATAAATCACGAGTCATACCCCAATGAAAGCAATGTAGATCTACAAAGATCATCTAACTTTTGTAAGGATTTCCATGTCTTGTTCCCCTATTCCCCCCTAAAGGTGGCTGATGGCCATCTTGCTACTGCTGCAACATACTCAAATATGCAGTATGTGATGCAACTATGTTTTAATCTATATGAACTTTTAGTAAATTATTGGCTTCAGACTTAAACAGTCCCTTTATTAAACTGTCAGGTATTTTCCTGCAAAAAGTATAATTTAGTATCTCTTGCTCGTGTGAAGAAACCTTTCACAGCAGAATGCTTGGCATACTTATCAAAAGCTAATTGCTATATAGCAGCCATTTTAGAAGGTATTAAAAGAAAACAACACAAACCACACCCCAAAACAAAGCTATTAAATATAACTTACATAAAAATCCCTTTAAATCTTCTGGACAGCCATGCTCTGGCCAGTCAGTGTACTGCAAATGCCAAACCGTCCTCTCCTGTCCTGTGAGAAGATGTTTAATCTTCAAACCTGTAGTTGCGTAGCAGCCTGAGTCAGTACGGAATCGCGTGGTAATCTTAAATCTTCCATAGGTTACGGTGTTGTGTCGTGAACCAAGACGTGGCCAGTATCTGAAGCTTTTTTCTCGCCCACTTTCCTTAAAAGTAAAATACTTGCTTAACAAAAAAGAACATTCATACAACTAATTCTACTGTAGTAACAACTGTATCTCTCCTCTATTAAATACTACTAGAATGTTATGGTTTCTTACTGAGTAAAACAACTTTCCAGCAGAAAGAGTTTGCAAATTCATCTTTCTACCAAAGAAAGCAAGACAGAATAGCAAAGGAGTCACTAGAAATTTGTCTTTGATTGGTCTTGTTATAGCAAAGATCCCTTCCCTCTAAAAGATTATAAAAAACTCTTTGTGAAATATTTGGGAGAAACCTGACTCAATTTATACTCACTTCCTCTGCCGTCACCATAGCTATGATGGCAATTCCTTGTTCCCAGATCATCTGCCAGAAATCCTGACATGTATTCTGCAAAGGGCCCTGCGTAGCAATGTAATCCCACTCTATGCCCCCAACAGAGATCTGTAAAAAGAAAGACACTGTGTTAGTAACTATGCAAAACCCTTTCCCCAATTCTGAAGATGCACAAAATGAAAAAAGACAGCAACACTGCAGAAGTAGGAGCCCATTTCGAGTTATATCTGTCCCAATTTTTAGCTGTGTCTTGTCACGTTAGATGCAGAAGAGACAGAATTTTATAGGCACACGACTAAGTAAATGTACTTTACATCATAAGCATAATGTAAAACTGAGAAAATAAAATTGTATTTTTCTTTTGAAGGCACTATACAAATTCAGGTTTAGAGAAGCTTGCATAACTTGGTGCTGTAAATGCTATTATAAGTAATAAAAATTCAGAAATTTCTGTTTCCCCCAAAAGTATTATTTTGCTTGAGAAGGGTCAGAAGATTCACACAACATTTGTGAATGAAGCAGAGAAACAATGGCACTGTGTCAGTGTACAAACAGATTGATTAAAGAAAGACAGGTACAACTGCTGCTTTGAGGATCTCAATTCTTTTCAGAGAAAGCATGGAGCCAAGAATGGTTGCACTTTAAGCAGGTAAATGTATTGAAAAATGAATGAGCTGCCTTGCAGGTTCTTGAGGCCACCCTGCAAATTCTTCAGTTTTTTTAACAGAGTTCAAAGAATTAAGGATGGGGAAGGGGGACAACTGAAGATTTTGAAAAAGCAGATTTCCCCCTGGCTCCATCAATTCCTCTAATCTACAAAAAAACTTAAGCTGGGAGCTCACTTACTCCCTGTTGTACATACAGTCTGAGAGTACAGGAAAAGAAGAAAAACTGATTATCACTGCAGAGCAAAAATACCATAATGATTCCAGAGGATCCAAGTTTGTTTTACAGCTGTTTGCCTTTATAACTCTGGGAAGAATACACATGCCTTCTGTTAGCAACAACCTCCAGAGAGATGAGACAGAGAGAGAAAGGAGACAGCAGATCAACAGAGAAGTGAAACGCAGAAGATCCCTCCAATAATTAACCCTTCTAAGTAAGGAGCAAAACCACGACAGGAAAACAGGTTCCTCCTTTCCCCAAAGAAACCTCTGGAGAACAAGGGGAAGAGAGAGAGATGGAGAGATTCTCATTCATCTTACCAAACCAAAATTGAAAGCCAAATGCATTTTTAGATACCACACGAACCGCAAAATATTTTCCCAACAGTATTCCTCTCACCTTGATATGAGATGCATTGATGTATCCTGTGTTATTTTCTTTGGTTGGGACTAGCTCTACTCTGGTATCATCATAAGGCAGGACATCCTGGAACCGGTTTCTTTCAGCATTTTCAGGAAGCCGAGCTATTGAGCACTCACCATCGATAAGCCTTTTTTTCTGGATGCGCTCGTATTCAGTGAACACCATGCCCTGCTCTAACCGTTGCTCCAGAATTTTACACTGAAAGACAGAGCATGGATAACGATACAAAGTCAATCTGAGGTGAGTCAGTTTTAACAGAGAATTCATGAAGGATAAAATGTATGTATTTTTGTCTCCTACATACTTCTTCAATGCTTTCACAGCTATTAATGTTTTCACAAATATACCAGAACGAATTAGAAGCAGCCCTAACCAGCAGGAATTTTGTTCAAGTGAAAACTAAGAAGCCTGTTATACTTCATTAGGTCACAAAGACCTACGTGAATACTGCTGGTGAAGGAAAAAGTACTTCATAGTTTCTATAAAGATAGTCCACTTGGGGGGGAAAAAAACCTGGCCAACCAGATAGCTATGCTGTACTGCATACTGCCTCAGATACCTTTGAACAAGGAATACTTATTAACCCACCTGCTCAATTTAGCATGTTAGATGCCATTATTTGAAAGGTCTCCTTTAACCTTGTAATAAAACAAACAAAACCCAAAACTAATAAACAAACCATCCAAACTTTATTTTTTGGATGGAGAAAAACTAAACTTTTCATACAGCAGCAGCATCTTCTTAGAATCTCTTGCTCCAGCTGAGTTATAAACTCAGATTTTTTTCTAATAGTATAACTCAATCTGTTCTATTTAATAAGCTGCTCTCCCTCTCACCCTCCCTTTATTCTTTTGAAACCAAGTTCTTTCTAAATCATAAGACACTTCTGGAATTTCAGCATCTCTTTGCCAACAATAATTAGAGGGATAATATGTAATATTTCAGCCAGAAAATTTCATCTATGTCACATGCCCCCAGATTCTCACAGCAACTGCTCTGTGGTATCAGGTCATAAAAGTATCTTGTATCAAGTAAGTATGCCAAATGTTGCAGAGGAAGGTGTAAAACCTCAATCATATGCAATTTGCACACCAATACATCAACTGTACAAACTCCTTTATTACCTTTAGGCTAAATTCCCTTATTTAAACTGATAATAACATGAAGCTGACCAATAAAACAGGCACTGAATCAACACTAAATTCATCTTCTAAAATATCTGCACTCTGGACTTCCTTTCATGTCATGTGTCTACTTTGCATTGCCTCTTCTCAACTGTTTTAGGCACTACTCCCATTTCATGCTATCTATTCTGCCCCTACATGACTGCCTCAAGAGAAAGTGCAGTGACATGTCTCTTTCATAACATCATTTCATGGCTTCTTCTTTACCTCAACCCTTTTGGGCAGAGCTAGCTGAATAATAATATGGCTGAATTTAGTGAAGATCAACCCAGAAAGAAATGATGGCATCTTGTTTAATGATATATGAGACAGGGTGAAGCGTATTTACTGAAGTTTTTTATCCTGCCACAAGCAGATGGAGTCTTGTATTTCTCAAAGAAAGATCCTCAAATTCTAGAACCTGATGTCCTCTCACTGATTTGAGATCTTTTACTGTATTTAAAATTTCTGCAGATAGAACAAGTTCCATCTATCTTTTATGGGAGCCACCTGAGGAAAACAGATAAATACAATCTGTGCAAATTGTACTCTGGGGATGCAATTTAGCTGCAAAACTTACTCTAAACTCTCTATGAATTACTAATAATTACAATTAAATTCAATCTCACACTCCGAATTATAAGTTTCGGTCTGGAAAACCCAAAATTAAGAAATAAAACAGAAAGAGTTTCATTAAAATGTATCAGTAAGTACTAATAATTTCTTCCTATATATTCAAAGGGTAAACTATAATTGAATAATTGTCTTAAAAATCTAAGCTACACCCCATACTTCTAGCAGTAATTTGTCAATCAGAAATCTCATTCTTCATTGTTTTATTCTCAGCATTTGATTTGAATCCGAAGCATTTTAAAGTCAACAAAAAGCACCATTCATATGCGCTTCATTTTGACAAATTACTACTGTAAATCAAGCACTAAATAACTTCAACATACCCTTTCATCATTTGTTGCTCTTGTTGGTTCTTCCTTCCCCTCATCTGGCAGAGGCATTCTAGTCAATGCCAGTCCATTTAGGGCAGCTAGCTTTAAAGGCCCAATTTTTTTTGCATCATTTTTATTCTTTTTCATACCCTGCAAAAGAAAATACAAATTTGTTAATATTCTTAAATACCTGACGAAGTTATAAACAGAAAACATCTGAGTTCAACTAAGCAAAGGATACATCTTTGACCCCTTCTGCAAACAGATCTGACCTTTTTTTTTGATAAGCACTGCAGTGAGAGATTAGGGTGGTGGGACTACATTCCTCCAAGAACACAACACAAGTCTGTCTTCATTCCAGACAGGCTAATGAAACTGCATGAGAATGACAAATATTGTTCCCTACAAAGCTCCCAGCTGAGGGTGTGAGGTGACAACTCTGGATAGTTAACATTCTTGGACAGAACTGAAATCACTTCCCAACCCCAAAAATACATACAAATTATTCCTTACTAAATTATTCAGTTTGCAGGCACTTTTCTTCCCCACAAGCAGGCATAAAAATGAGCATATACATTTCAGATATTTGGATATAGTTAAATGCTTTACTACATTTGCAACAAACTGTACATACAAATCATGAACACAGAACTGCAGACAGATTTGAGTTCTAGGCCAGGCCATGAATCTAAATTATGGAAGTAACTATTCATTATTTGAGAAAAATATCAAGGGGGATTTCTATGAAAGAATAAATTCAAATTATTCTTTTAAAAAGTGTCATGTCATCCTTCCTGCAATTGCAAAGTTTACGTGTTAACAAAAATACAGTAAAAATAGGAGTGCATATGCTGCTTGAATGATAATCAATGCTTTCAAAAGCTAAATGGTGGTAAGAAATAGGAAGACAAATCTAAGAGGATGAGACCACATTTAAAAGTGAACACAAACACACAACAGTAAAAGTTCATTGAGAAGCAAAACATGCAAACATTAGTAGGGGCCAGCTTTGTAACTAGGATATTCATCTCAGTTATGAATATAAAAAGGTAATATTCTGTAGTGCACAGTGGCACTCTTAAGTGTTACTGCACTAGAAACTATGTTACTGAACACTTCCAATGAAAAAGTTCTTATATCGATTTAATTTCAAAGGTTGACTGGAACATTTACATAACTGTCAAAAGGAAAAGCAGGGTATGATTTTGGTAGACACGTTACTGTCTGAAAATGTATCTTATGGAGAAAAAATACTAAGTGACTATCAAAATGTGAACACAAGGAGAAAGGTATCACTCTTTTTTTCTGTATCCACATAAAAACTCAGGAGGAAGGGATGTAGAAAAACATACATAATTATAAAATGAATTGAAGCTGATGAAGGTTCATTTCATTGTGTTCAGCTCCATGCATAGCATGTCTGACAGACAAAACATTGTGACAACAGTAACTATTTCAATGCATAGCTTTTGCATATGTTAGTTTTTGCAGCATCAGCTGTAAGTTACCACAGCAGTAGAAGTTATACCCAGTAGTTCCACTGCAGTCCAATTTGTGCAGAAAACAATTTGACACTAAATCAGATGTGCAAAATTAACAGCAATCAATTTTAAAAGCCAAAATAAAAATAATAATTATCTTCCTCTATTAGTACCTGAAATCTGCCACAGACTACATAAAACTGGACAAAAGTTTAAAACAAAATGGGTGGTAAGGAGTACCAGTAAAACTGTACAATCCACACAGACCTTGACACTTCTGTGATGTGGGAATTATAGGAAAGGTGAAACTTGTGGGTTTTTACTATTTATGGCTTCATAAGATTGGAGTAGGAGAAAGAGGCATGGCAAGGAAGAAATACTTTTACTGGGATAAAATGTCTTGAAGAGAAGGCAAAAGGGAAAGGATTTGGAAAGGGAAAGGCATGGAGTAAAGAAGAGAATGCAAGGAATGAGTTTATTGTTTAATGTGTCAGGTCCCCACTTAGGTCAGAAGAAGAAAGCAAATTTTTTAAAAAGTAAACATTCAGCTACATATGACTTTTCTGTGAAAGGAAGAACAGAAAGCTGGCAGTTGAATGGAAAGAACTGGTTCTGTTCCAGATAAGGACAGATAGGACAGAATTGGGATCTAGAGCTGACTTTAAGATAGCTCATTTTAAAGTTCCTGGCCAGGTTAGGTGTATCAGATGGATGGAGGTTGCACAGCTGGATTTGTGTGGGAGGACTATACAAACAGAACTCAGACATGGCAGAGAAGGGGATAAAAGACAGCTAAGCAAAGTTAATCAGGGAAACACAGAAAAATAAAGGTCAAGCTTAAGGTAGCTTTCAATTCACATGTTTTAAATGCATCTCAGGTGGATTAAAAGAACCCCAAACCTCAAAAAAAACCCCAAACAACTTCTGCTACAGACAACCCAAAACAAGATGAATGGTATCCACTTACACCTAGTGGGGGAAGGCCTTCCACAATATTCTTTTTCCCAGACAAAAGATCGGACACAGGTCTCTTCTTTACTGAATCTTTCCTTACTCTGTATCTCCCTGATGTTGTAAGATCAGATTCTGACATGGATGGAGTAAGCAGTCCTTCCCCTCTTCTCTGGACCTGGCTTTCTACTAGTAAATGAACGGGGCTCATATCTTTCATTCTCTTCTCTGCCTCTGAAATATGCAATTTAGGCTCAAGAATATGCAAAGGGCCAGCAGATGAAGCAACAGAGCTATAAGGGTAGTTCAGTACTGAATCATGAGAATAACCTCCCATAACAGATGAAAGTTGGGTTTGATCTTCGGGAAGAGGAGAAAGACTTGTATTAGCCTTGTTTTCTTCTTCAAATTCTTCTTCTTCCTCACTACTGTGAATCAGCATAGTGGCATCTGAAAGGGTTTTCTTATGATCACAATTCACACATTCTTCCTGCTCACCTTCTTTTTGCTTCGCTCTCTCCATCAGAATGTTGGGCTGTGACCCTTCTGAGATAACTCTTGGAAGAGCCACATCTGCTGCAGAAGCTGACATGGTCCTCTCTTTAATCCTTATTCCTTCAAAGCTGGGAGCCAAGCCTGCTATTTCAATACTGTTCCTTTTCTGCAGCTGCGCATGGCGTGCCGATGTTAGAGGCTCACTGACTTCCTGAAGAGAATGTGCCACAGGCAGGCTGTCTTCCTGAAATGTCTGGACAGAATGGTGCACTCGCCTTGTGATAAGATCTGGATTGCTGCTGCTGATGTAGATATGCCGGGAAAGGTCTGGAGTACTGTTTGCAGGCCTTGGGTACGGGTATGGGGGAGGTGGTCGATAGACTTGGGTCTTCATTATATTTGGTGCTGGATAATCCTGAGCCTGGAGCTGCACATTTGTCAACTCAGGTACACTGACTGCCCCAACAACTGGGCGCTTTTCAGCAGGATAGGGGTAGGGTGATTGGCTATGAAAGCTGTAGTTCAGGTTAAATGGATAATGGTTAGACTGTGGGGCAGCAAAGTGAGCATGTTCTCGTATTTCAGGCTGACTGTAAACTAAGGCATCGGGTCTGCTGTAAGCATAGGAATTGCTGATGTTAAGATTTCTCATTGAATGACTCTGCCTATCTGTGTGCACCATTCCTCTGTTGAGCTGCCTCATCACAGTCTCATAGTCTGGTGTGGGACGATAAGAAGGTGGTATTAGTGCACTATGTCTGTGTGAGGGGACATAATCAGTTCTGAGGACATCACTTCCAGTAATGCTTGGGTTAGAGGACATGGGGGATGGCTGCAAGTAATGCTGTGGGTTGTTCAAGGAGTTTGTGCTGTGTGCGCTATAGACACTACCATTGCGGATCCGACCACTGTAGTCATGAGGGGCTCTATCCAAGCTAGTCTGAGAGTGATAGTAGTATCCATTCTGATTGCTCACAAAGAGGTTATCTGAAAGTAAAGTTTAAGAACAGTCTTTATGTCCAAGACATCAAACAAAGTTATCTTCTATTAAGACATAGCTAAGCAATGTTTGAGATTTTCAGAACCTCAGTTATTCTTAGCTCTGTATTGAAATGGGAAGGGAAAAAAAACAAACCCAAACCGAAACCCAAACCCCAGCTTTTGCTGTTGTTGATACCTGAAGTATGTAGACCAGAATAACCTATTATATTTATTTCAATTATTCAAATTCCTATGGGAAAACACTCTCTGTTTAAGAATGGCTTTCTTCTGTTTAGGATAGGTTTGCTAAGGTTCAGTCCAAATTAAACAAAGTCCCTGCCAGTGTTACATCACACCACTTGAAAAAAAGAATGTCCACATGGATTTGCACTAATGGGGTAATATCAGTTTAAACAGTAAAGAAAGAAAAAAATACTAAAAACAGCCCCACAACAACCAAACAAAAAACCCTTGCTCTTCTTCTCTCTTCTACCCCCTTATGACATAAGTAGATATAGTACCACAAGGTCTTAAAAAAAAAAAAAATCAAATTAACTTTCCTCCAGAAATTTTGGAGACAGTTTAAACTGCCACCATCTATTGCTTGCAGATTAACATATACCTACTCTGATGGGTAAAGGAAATGATCTAACAGTTTATGCATCTAGCACTAAACTGGAAAGACTTCAGCTACATTCTGAATGTAGCTGAGTACCTGTATTTCATGAAGACTTGTGTAACTCTGTTTAGATAGAAAATGTGCTTATTCCCTTCCCACTGAGTTGTTAAAGTATTATTTATCCAGCAGACTTGTAGGACTGGAAGAACCCTATGAAAACCGAGGTAACTTTGCAAAAGATTAGCTTCAACCCTTGAGGGTAGCAAGTTTTTTAATTTAAACATGTAACAATCAAAAACATGCAAGAAATCAGCCATGACTCTGCTGTAAACCACTTAGATTAGGAGTCTACATTCCTTGAGAATATTAGTTAGGGGTTGCTTGGGGTTTGTTCTTTCTTGGTTTCAATCAAATATAAACTAGTTCCATAACTTACAAACTTCCTCAACCTTTGAATTCCCCACCACCTTGTAGTCTAGCAAACTCTGAGAGAAACTCCTCTCTTCCTGCATCCTAGGTTCAATTTTTTTTTTAAATTTTTCAATTTTGTGAATTGTCTGGGGGTTCAGTTACTCTTTGCAGCTATTAAGGTCAATATTGACAAGGATCTCAAAATGCCACAACATTGATACAAGAACCAAAAAAAGTGATGGCCAAGACACCACAGTCTTTTGTTGGTGTATATTCCATCTAGCTTTACTCATCTCTCATAGTAGAGGATGTGAAGGAGGAACACTGGAAGGAACTGGGATTGTTTAGCCTGAAGAAAAGGAGGCTCAGGGACCTTATCACTCTCTACACCTACATGAAAGAAGGTTGCAGTGAGGTGTGTGTCTGTGTCTTCTCACAGGTAACAAGGAACAGGACAAGAGGAAATGGCCTCAAGTTGCACAAGGGGAGGTTTAGATTGGATGTTAGGAGATTTCTTCAGAGAAAGGGTGGTCAGGCATTGGAACAGGCTGCCCAGGGAAGTGGTGGAGCCACCATCCCTGGTGGTATTTAACAGACATGAAGATGTGGCACTTAGGGACGCAGTTTAGGGTGGACTTGGCAGTGCTGCAATGATGGTTGGACTTGATGATCTTAAAGGTCTTTTCCAACCTAAAGGATTCTACGATTGTATTTCACATTAGCCTGTATGTCTAGAGTAGCAGCAAGCACTTCAGTGAGTGTTCTAGTACAAACCTACCCCATGTTCACCTTATTAATTTATTCAGCTCTAAATAAAGTAGCTACAAATACAAATTATAGTTTTTACCTTCCAAAGTCATGTAGTGTGGTGGTGGATTTAATGAACTTACCTTGGGAAGATGCATATGGTTCAGTATAATGACCATTGTAATGCAGCTGAGGTGGTGGAGGCATCATATAAGGCTGAGGCTTAGGCTAAGAAAGAAAACATCCTACTGTTACTTAAGAACTGATTTTTTTTTTTAAGTAATTTTTGAAAAAAAAATTATGTATAATGTATACTATTATATATGTATAATATTATATATATTATATATATAAATCTGCAATGTAAATTTCTCCTGTGAGGTCATACAAAAAATAAGTAAAGAACTGGGGAAAAAACTCCAAACACACACCACCAACCCAAGACTGTATCTTGCCATCTGACATCTAGAACACTCTTCTAGAGACAGGGTGATCACACTAAAAATAGAAGTGTTTAAAATATTTTTCATTGCAATTACTTTAATCCCATTATTTATATATTACATAGCAGCTTTTTCTACAAGTCAGAAACAGTTCCTCACATACTAGACTCATCTTTTTCACAGCTCATCTTATTTCACTGAAGGAAACTAATATTTGATTCAAAGTCACTTAAAATCCATAAAACTGCAAACTTAAAGCTATTTGCTCTCCTCACCATAGACATTCTGGATGAAGACCGTCTTCTAACAGGATTCACTGTAACGGGCTGAGTTTGTCTGCAGAAGAAATTTATGGTAAGAAATTATTCTTAACAATAGCAAGACCTATGTCAAACACTGGAAAGCACTCCCAAGGTCAATTAAAATCACTCTACATTTCTTGGAGCCGGGCCTATGTTAAATAGTCCTCCCCAACAGTCTCAAATGGAAAGAGCTCTGTGCATAAACCACCATCACAAAGCAAAAATCACAAAGCCAGAATCAAAATACCTCAGTTATTTGTTTGCCTCTTCTCTATGAAGCATAAAAAGAAGGCGTCCCTGAAGCACTGCAGTAGGGCAGAAAAAGCAGTGGAGTAACTGGGGACTAGTTCCAAAGTTGAACCTCATATAAAATCTCATACTCTGACTTACCTGTTCTACAAGTCAGACATAAAACTGTTTAGGGACTGTAACATTACAGGAACTGGAAAGCACGACTATACTACATGAGGATTCGTACATTCTAACATTCAAGCTAACAGTAATGAATTTTCATAATTTGTTGGATTGCACACAGGATGTGAGTCTTAAGGTCCTTTCCCCCCCACCCTACACTGCACCTGTTCTCTGTGTCTTGCAGCAAGACGAAGGCCAAAAGACAGCAGCATAATATGAATGTTATTTTTATTTTTTTAATGTTATTTTTCAGGAAGAAAGATGTTGTTTAGCTCACCCTTTAGGAAGTGAAGGACGAGAAAGGATTGGAAAGCGTGGAAGGGAAAGAATGAGGGAAGATTTCTGAGAGCCCTCCTCAGGTGGAGAGTCCAGGGAGTCTCTAAAGATAAAGTATGTACAGATTAAGAAAAAAAACCTTGTAGTTAATACAGGCATGCATAAGACAGTTTTCAGCAGCAGGACCAGACAACAGGAAATTTTAAGAGTAGAGATAATCAGAAAAGTTTCTTTGAGGACTTAACTTCATGCAAAACCATGCTGTGGTGAAACCACAGTAATTAAGTAATCCTAGAGCCTGGCATTCAATATGGAACTATAGAACTGATATTATTCAGACAGCAATGCACAAGTCACACAAATGCACTCCTTCTACCAGTAATTCTGATCACTCTCAAAAGGTAGTCAGGTTTACAAACTTCGAGGTATGAGGTTTACTCTGTTTCAAAGTAATCTTACTTCTCAAATAAATTAGCATTAAACACACTGTTGAGTCACCTGTGGCACAAATATTTCATTATCTTTCCACTGGCCTCAGCAGATTTCAGAGCCACCCCTCCACAGCTATCTTCCCACATACAAAGGGAATATGGGAATCATGCTTCTTTTATGACAGAATATTCACTGTGTCTAATTCCCTACTGTTTGACTAAAGAAACTTAAATGAAGGAAAGCTGTATCAGTAAAGTAGCTCAGATTCCAGCTGTTAATTTACAAGCTGGAGACCAGCCCAATTAAACTTAATTTGATGAATTGATTAAATTTACCTTGCACTGGTGCTACTTGAGCTATACAGATTCCATGGATATCTAAAGAACCACATACCCCTCAGCTGTCAATCCAGCACATTTCAGGAGTGCTTCACATACACTTCCCGGCCTTTTAAAGCCTCTAGTGTCCTTTCAGAGCAGTTCACCCAAACCCAGGCCAAAACTCGAGTGATTCCAGTGGCTTACAAGCACTAGCAATATTGGATCCCAAAGCAACTGAAGTCTGTCACAGCCCTGAGATCCAGAAACAAAGGCCAAACACTCACAATTGGTAAGATTTCAGTATTTAATATTTTCCTCTGTCATAAAGCAGAAAGTGTTTCAAAAACTGGTGATAAGTGTTTTCTCAAAGAAAGATTAAGAAAATTAACCCAAGTCATTAATTACTACCATCTAAAAAGGACAGTAAAGATATTACAGAAGTAGTAGTAGATTTCACTTCCTAATGGAAGCTTCAAGGCAACAAGAATTGTGCTAATGTATTCTACTTACAGGCTGCATTTATTTAGTCTGTAAAATTTGTGTCTAGCCACACACATCCTCCACACATATTTTGCTGTTTCCATATCTTCCTGCCAAAAAAAAAAAAAAAAAAAAAAGGCAAAATTTGCATTAAGCCATATATGCATACCCTTTACTTGCTTTCGAATAAGCCACTGAAATTTTTAAGGTTAAACTAGCATTGACCTATTTTGTTTTAATGTAACTTCATTAGTGTCACCAGGTTTTCCCTAAAACTCTACTTTGCAGGTGCAAACCTCCCCTCCAACCTAACACTGCTATTAGATTTATGAAATTTTAGAGTAGAAGCCTTTTGTTGAAGACACTCTTATCAGCTGTAATACTAACACAATTAATAAAGATTAAAAATTTAATAAGAAAGATTAAAAAGTTAATAAAGATTGCCATAAGACTGTCAACAGCTGCCTTTTGACAAATCAAAGGGCAGATGCCACATAACATTAATTCTGCAAGAAATCCCACGGCCCATTCCAGCAAAGCTCTAAGACCATATTTATCTTTAATTGCCACTGATTTAAAAGTCAAAAAAACATGCTACAAATTTTACTGGAATGAATGACAATGTTTATGAACACCTGACCAAACACATCAATGTATTCAACATAAAACATCTGATTTTTAATGCCTTCCTGTAAAAAGCTAGCCAAAGACTGTATTATTACTTTTGGCTCAATCATACAATTCAAAACTGCTAAATATATATAAAGTAGGTTTTAATCTTTGAGTTAAACTATCAGTCTTAATTTGTGTTTATATTTACTGATGTCTTAGCACAAAAAACAAAAAAATGTACTCACAGTTTGGAATTGAATTGTCTCTTCTTTGTTGGCCAGCTCTAATGCAAAAAAGGATTTATTGTGGGACATGTTGGCAATATCATGCCACCTGCAGACAAAAGGGATAAAATGTTACTGGCAAGCTCTGATTTTCAAACCACAGAAAATGCAACTGAAGAACAGAACCATCACCAAGAATATGGATAAAGAACTGAGGACATACTCATGAGGAGAAGCGGAGGGGCAAGTACTGGTCTTTTCACTCTGGTGACCAGTGACAGGACTTAAGGACACAGCATGAAGCTGAGCCAGGGGAGGCTGAGGTCGGATATCAGGAAAACATTTTTCATCCAGAGGCTGGTTGAGCACTGGAACAGGCTCCCCAGGGAAGTGGTTACAGCACCAAGCATGATGGAGTTCAAGTGTTTGGACAAGGTTTTCAGACACTTGGTGTGACTCTTGGGGATGGTCCTGTGCAGGGCTAAGAGTTGGATTCAATGACCCAACTCAGAATATTCTATGATTCTGTGAAAAGGTTCATTAATCTATCTGAACAAGTTGCAGGCCATCACTTCCATACCCATTAAATGGCTGTTGAAAGGAAAACATGCATGTGACTAACTTGGGAAAACGCTCAACACGTACAGTATTAAGTTTATTAGTTGTCTTCCACTTGAGATTCTTTCAAGTGTTCTTTTAAAAAAAAAATCAAATTTAGATAAATTTAGTTATCAGTAAATTATAACAGCCTGACTCCTTGAAAGCAAATCATACATTCCAGCAAAAAAGAAATTAAACCTACACTGAACAAAGCTTTTAAGGCATTATAATACATATTTTCTAGAACTGTTGCACATTGACAGATGAGAAAAAGTTAGATTACATAAAATATAATATCATATATTTATTCATCTTCTTGTTAAATATAAATGTAGCTTGACCCATTAGTATTATGTTAGCATAAATAAAGCTTACATAATCGATTCATTAGAAGAAGATTCTGCAGTGCACAAACACATGGAAAAAGAATGACATATACAGGACTCTTTCTAAAGGTATTTATAAGACTCCCATTTTCATTACATCGATAAGTCTGACACCATTTTCTACAGCTACTCCCAATCATAAGCATGAGGTAAAGAAAACTAATGTCCCCATTTTGATGTAAAATAAAAACCCCTCAAATTTAAGGCCTTGGTTCATAGGCATTTGAGGACACAATTATGAAATTATCTGAATAATCTGAACCGTAACCCAGCCTTCATAAATTATACTAGTAGGTCATTTGTCTATGCATGATATATCTACCCATGCTGGAATTGCCAATAGTCATACAACAAACAAGCAAAAGAGCAGGAAACTGGATGGTGAAACTGAAATATAAATATTTTTCTGATGCTTCCCAATGTGCCTTTTTTTTTTCCTTACGTTTACAGACACTGCATCCACAACTCTTTAGGAAATTATGCAAAGTGCATGGACAATGCTTTATTCCTCTCCCCTGTGCTGAAAAGTAGAGCTGTTGTCTAACACTGCAAGAAAGCAGAGTAGAGCACTTGGACAACTCCAGACAATTAAAAAGAGCTTGGCATCAGCTCTCCTATCAACAGCAGAGACAGAAATTTTGTGGACATTTAACAGTACTGAATTTATAAATTCTGTTAAACAAAACTACTAAGAGAAATAAGCACAGTTGCTTATAACCCCAGAAATGAACTGGTAGTGAAGTTCCAGTAACTGTTGGACCACGGGATTTCAAGATTTCCATTAGATTCAAAGATTCAATTCTAGAAAGTTAAAGTTCACTAAGAATGAAGCCTTTCTTGCTCTAGCAATAACTACAAATTGCTGAGACTCATCTTTTAAAAATCTAAAAATGTATTTTTTTAAAATTTATTCCAAATTCTGCCCAAAGATGCCCAAGCAACTCCTCTTGAAGTAAGTGAGGATAAAACCATTTCACATGAAGACTGAATTTTAAGTGTTAGGAAAGTCACACCTCTGTCTACAAGTTAACAGACCATTAAATAATAAACTAAAAAATGTATGAATCCAAAATAATGAAACAAATGTTATCATGTAACTCTCCACACTTTATTTAATTTATAATATATGAAAGGAGCTCCTGGACAATTTTACAACTGGATATTTCTACATAAATTGATGTCACCATTGCAGGATTTGAGATACTGTGTGTGCCCAGAATTGCTCCTTTTTGATTTAATAAATGCTTCACAATGGAACTGTATATTAAATGTTCATCTCTTACAATTAATCTGGCTTAAAGACATTCATTCTGCAGTCACTACATTGAAAAATTCCAATGGAATTCAGTGTTCACTGTAGTGTGATGACTACAAGACTATATTCAGGTTTATCAAATTAATAAATACACATCATATCTAAGAGTCATTCATGTTTGTGAGGAAAACATACAAAATGTGAAGCATACAAAGACATTTTAAGAAAGAACAATACTGACCTAAATACAACAGGAGGACGACCATTTTTGTGTTTCACAAAGATACCATTAAGACATGCTCCAATGAATATGTCACTTCCTTGGCTGTCCTGTAAGAAGTTGCAAAAAGTTATATAAAACAGAAAAAAGTCTTTGAAAGCAGAGTTACAAGAGAAATAACTGCTTTTATAATTCTACAAGGAGGAGAAAATTCTGAGTGGTGTGGGTTTGGGGTTTTATTTATTTTTGGCAGGAAGCAACACTTCTAAAGAGGGAAAAAAAGGCAACTGAGACAAAGATCAAAGCCCTGTTTACCTTTGCAGGGTAGGTCTCTTCACCATAGCCCTCCATTCGTTCTACTTCTTGCATATATAACATTTCCGCATCAGGAGGAGTAAGGCCTCTACAAATAAAAACAACAATCAGCTATTACTGCCAATAAGAAAAGAAAAATCTTTATTTTACTCTGAATGACATCATCAAAGCTTGAAAAGCATTCCCAAGACATCCAGGAAATCATCAACTCATGCTGTTTCTATCTGTTCCAATGGCTGATATTTTTCTCAGCCTTTACACTTTGATTCTAGTAACTTCTTTCTCTCAGGTATCTTTAGGGGCAAATGGCAACAAAGACCAGTTAAAATTATCTTCTAATGGCAGACAATTATCACATTCTTTTTCGAATCCACCATTGTCTCCATATTTCCTCACTTTTTCAGAATGATTACACTGGCACATGTGTTCAAGACCTTAATTTTCCCTGTAGCAATATTCACAATGAAGTTTGATGTTCCACATTTCAGAAAAGACAAATTAATTTTCTAAATGCTGACAGAGTTTTAACTGTAATGTGTGAGAACATGAGGACAAGATCTGTAGGTAAAGGTAGCGGTTTTTGTACCTACACCAAGTGACAAAGACAGTTTTCTCACAGACTTACAGTAGTGTCACAGGGATTAAAAGCTTGTTTTTACCTACTCACCAGCAAACTTCAGCTCTTTAAAGTCATAATTTCTACCTGCAAAATCCTGTCACATTCATTGCTATGTCTCTCAATACTTTTTCAATCATCAATCTCTCTGTTTCTTCACTTTTTCCTAACATCATGTAGATTAAGTTTTCTTTGCTGAACCTTAACCATGCAATCTTGTTACAAATGCATTTCAAAGACAAATTGAATTGAAATTTCCAAACTGCTGTTTTAAAACAATACAATGAAAAATTTTCAGTATTGCTCACATAGTCACAAATATTTTTCTCTCTTGAACTGACATTCCTTTGTCCTGGACTACTGCACCTTAGCTACCTTTTGCCTTAGATCATAAGCCATCTGGCACCATTAACTGTCTCTACATTTCTACTGCCCTCATTACCTGCCAAAGGTGTTTATCAAGAAACATCCTTATGGAGTCACAACTTCATATTAGAAAGTTTCAGAAACATAAAGGTGAAGTCACACTATTTAATACTGTCCTGCATTCTTAATTTTCAAGCCAAATCCTCTTATTTATTTTACTAGGTGCTCTGTTCTCTTTTCACTTTCATTCAGCAGAAAATCTGGTAACTTTGATGCAGATGTATTAGAGAAAAACTCATTTAAATAAGAGGTGAAATTAGTCCCAGTGTCTTCTGAGATTCACAACTTTCTGAGCTACTGAAGATCCTAATTAAGCAATAAAGAGTTTTAGACATGTTACCTGTACTTCTGATGTAGCAAGGCAACTTTCTGTGTTGCTTCTTCCAATATTTTCTCTTCTTGTAGCCAACCCTTAAGGTAAGACAGAATTTATGCAATGAGATACAAAAAAAGTTCTACAAAATTAAATGATTATAGTTTCCTTACACAGGTGAATCAACTCACCACTCTAGTGTTGAAGCTTAGATGCTGTTATATGCACACAAGTAAACCCAAAAAGCATAAACACTGTTTTGAAGTGGTTTTACTCACTTTCCCATCTACACCCAACCTTCTTTTCAGTGTAATATACAATAAACTCGAAAAGGTCCTGCAACATCTTTACTTCTGTGTAATATAAGGTGTGCTATCTCACTCCAACCTCAAAGAAAACCTTCACTGAATTTGATAAGCCAGTGAGCAGTAAGCTGGATGGATCAATCATGGAGTCTTATTAATAATGATTTGTTTTTACCAATTTTAAGAAAGTTTTAAATTTAAATTTTTCAATTTAGGAATGGAAATGTATCCATTTAAACTAAGTACTTACCACTGGAAACAAAGCAAATCTTTGTAGAAACTCCTGAGATTCATACTGATCATAGTCTCCAAAATCAGCTAAAAAAAGAAAAAAATTCTTGGAGTCAAACATTTTTAACAAAATTATTTAACACCCAATTAGTTGCAGCAGGATCTCCAAGCAGCAAATCTCTCCATCCTACTGAACTGTGATCTGGAAGTAAAGCAGCAGAATAAACTAACCAGTAGTGTTTAGGAAGAGGAATGGTGAAAACATATCCCATCTTCTTACGTTGTTCATAAAAATTGATAAAACTCCTTGTGGTTAGAGAAGAAGAAATCATAAAACAATCAGAATCCAAGTTCCTTAGTACTTTGAGGTTTCAATAGTTCGATTTTTTAATCAGAGAATGGTTAAGGTTAGAAGGGGCCTCCTGAGATTCAGCCCTAAGCAGGGTCAGCTAAAGCAGATTGTCTCAGAGCTTTCCCCAGACAAATTTTTAATATTCCAGCTCTATCTTCTTTACTCCCTCCTGTCAGACACTTGCAGTACAGCACCAACAGACAGCTCTAACTTGCAGCTCTACTCAATCACTGCACAGAGCAGCTGGAGCATCCTTTGGCTCACAAGACTTCTACAGCTCCCTGCACCCAGACATGCAGAAATTGGGAGCTAGAAGCCTTCCCAGACTCAGGGGTATGCTCAGAAAGCACTTAACTTACTGAGTCGGGTCTTTGAGTGATAAATAGAAAATATGCAATAGAGAAAATATATCATCAAAGTTTCTGATGCAACATTAGCAAGTTGGCACAATTCCTTACTTACCCTGAACAGCCAAACCAGCCAAATGTATTGCTTGTTCCAGTGTGCAAGGAATGCTGCCCTCCAAGATATCTTTCTTTAATTGCAGATAATACTGATACCTACATGGGAAAAAAAAAAAAAAAAAAAGCTAACAGGGGCTTCTTAATTTAAAGAGAGAGCAGATTAATATGCCTGCATTTCCTATTCCTCTCTGCATTCCCAGTTTGAGTGGAGGGTAGTCACCCTCATCGTTCAGATCCACTATTTCAAGGCCTTTGTTAACTCCTGCCTCCCTTAACTTTCACATATCATTCCATAATCAGTGATCTTAAAGAATCTCCACAATTTCTATCTACTACCATACTCTCATTTTTTAATTTTTACCTCTTCTGTCCTTAATGTTGTTATTATTGTCTCTAAACAACGTTCAGTAAACTGCTGCTGTATTACTGCCTTCTCTTCCAATAGATCTAACATTGCACCCAATCCTGATAATGACTTTCATTTCTGTATTACAACTTCTGAGTTGTTCTGACTTTCAAGGCACCATTTTTGTCCTTTAATCTAACTTCTCCCTTTCTTCTGCCCCTTTCAGCTCTCCATGGAACTCCCTATCTTGAGCCCAAAACACCTCAAAACTGCCATTACAGCTACACAGACTTGGCCAAGAGGTACATTTGTCTTCTATAATCCTAGCTTCAAAAACTTCTTGTTTTTATACAATGACATATTGTATGTCAACTTTTGTGAAGTAAGGCTTTAATACTGAGAACGTGGAAGTATGTGCTATAAATCATTCAATGGTTAGAAAGCTCAAGTAAACACCACATAAATTTTATTTATATTAATTGTTAGCTCTCTTCCCTCACTGTTTACTGGCCTGTTAAATACAGTGACAATTCATAAATATTGTTTAGACTCTTCGGGATCTTACTATAAAGAACCAGTACACCATAAAATAGTACATGACATCCTTATACAACACCCAGAAGAACAGATGGGATTAAACCCAGGCCTTAAAAACAAAGAAAGGAAAAAGCCACTGCATATCAAGGCATTTGGGGAAACAAGTCTTCCCAGTCAAGAAGTGGAATGTAAACCCTTTCCATGGAAACACTATTAAAGGTAAACATACAGATGAAGAATCTTAACATTAGCTTGAGATAGCACAAATACCATCTCCTTTTATCTATGACATTTCCATTTCCTGGTGTACATTAAAGTTGCTTAAACATGCTCAATCTCATCTATATTAAAAAGGCATGAAAAAATTCACAGATTTCTGAAATTAATCCAGACTCTTACTATCATATATCAAAGCAAGTACCATCCTATAGGACTTGAGTATAAGGTTGACACATAGATGTCTGCTTTCTGCCTGGTAGCACACTGTAAAATTGTTGTTAAACCTCCACAATAAACATCATATTCTTTAAACAAATGCCAGAGAAGACTATTCAAGGTTTTTCAGGCAATTTACCTATTCAATGCAACACCATGACATTTATCTTACTTTAATGCATCCTCGTACACCAACAAACATAGAATCTGAACCAAAGATTTTCAAGCCAGTAAAATTGCTGAGAAATAGCACAAAACTTCAGAGTTTTCAGGAAAAATATAATCTTTCAGAAATTACACATCAAACAAACACTAAAGCTGCCAAGCATTAAGCAATAAATAACAGCAGCAGTGTCTGCACCAAGAGGCTTATCTCTCCCTGAAAAGCTTTCACACCACATTTAGCAGGAAAGGTGTCTGGCAGGGTATTTTAGCAACACAGTATATAAACACAGTTTCATGTAACCACAGAAAACTTAATTGGAAAGGATCTCTGAGTGATCACCTGGTTCAACTCCCCACTCAAAACAAGGCCCATTTGAAGTTATCAGCTTAAATGGGTTAATTAATGCAAGCATATATTTCTCAAATAATAAATACATGCTTGTAATCCAGTTACTGGTTTTGTACTCATTTGCCTATTAAAAAGAATCATTAAATCAGAACAACTATACACATTAAGCCACTAGAAGCCAATGTATAGGCTCATAAGAATAACTGGCCAGTACACATGCTCAGTTTTACTTTTCCCCCTGTAGTCAGCACCAATTACGTGATGTCACCCAGTTTCACAGTAGAAATGTGTACATAATATCAGAAATAGCATCCATATTGATGGCTCAGTGATACACAAAAAAAGTCCAAAGCTGAAACTTAGCCTGTAGCTTGCCAATGTATTGTACTGAAAGTACAGAAAGTACTGAAAGCAAAACAAAGGAAAGCATAGTTCAATAAAATCTGCACGTGCTTTGTGCAGGATGGATGTCCACAAAAGCAACATATGGCTCTTCAAAACAAACAAAAAAGAGACAAACATAAAGAGACTAAAACAATCAAAAGTCTGACCATGTAAGTATGCCTGTTACTTAAAACAGGTTTGAACAGATTCTTAAGATCTCAAAGAAGTTAGTTGTTTGTTTAATTTATCACATATTTTAAGTATTCCAAAGCTAAATAAATACACATTTTGAACATAAATTCTGCCTAAAGTAATTTTCATTTCTATAAAGGTGGGGGAGAGAAAAGCACACAACTTTTAAATAAACCATACATTGCAGAATGCTGAAAGTAAATTTTTAGACACATGTTAAGAAGTTTACCTGGTAATCTCCTGCTGAAGCTGAGAAACAGTAGGCACATAGAACACTACTCCAAAATACACAGTTGGCTCTAAGGCATATTTGTCCAGCTGCTTTTTCAGAGGCTTGTCCAAATCTACCCATCTGCGCTGATTCTGCTTATTATAATACCACAGACTGAAATACGTAATCTGAAAAAGAGGCATTTCAGTGAAGAAAAAAAGTTAATATTGTGATATTAGATAAAATGTATTGTATGAAAGTCCTGCTACCTAGAAATAAATGGCTTACAACACTAAGGTTATGGGTTATTGAAAACTTAGAGAACAGCAGAGGCATTTAACATCAAAAGCAGACATTACTTCCAGATAACCAACCCACATACGTAAAGTACTCCACCTAAAAAAATACCAAGCCTACATTTTATTTGCAAACAGTTCATAACTCTTTTGTGTTGACTCACAGATGTTAATAGTAAGCATTCATGTGTGACAGGAAAGTTAAGGGAAGTGAGGAAGGCAAACAGAAACTGACACTGGACAGCAGGAGAGCAAAGCATGGCTTCTGTGGGGAAATGGCAGTCAGGCTCACATGGGATGCTGAAGGACAAAAGAGCACAGGACAGCTGGTCAGTCAAAGGCAAGCTCATTAAAGCATATGCATGGCTCATCCCACGAGGGAGAAAATGAGCAGATACACAGAAGGAAACACAGAAGCAGCTTGAGTGGGCAACTCCTGCCCAAGCCCAAACACAAAATACAGTTTGCACTGGAACAGACCAGCCCAAGAGGCTGAGGGGTGTCATCCCTGGAAAGTCAAAATGCCACTGGACAACATCCTGAGCAACACAATCTAACTTGGATTAGATCTCTCTGAGAAGAAGTCTGGATCAGAATATTTTTTCATTGCTCCACAACATGGTTCTAAATCCACGCTCCAGAGTCATTCATTCAAATTTAAATTTCTCCATTATGTTTAAACTGATTAAAATCTGCTCCCACAGTACTTATTTCATTCAGTTCTGGACCAGCAAACATACATGGACTGGAAACTATTCATGCCATTATCACAGAAAAACTAGATATCATAATTAGAAGTGTTTTAACTGAGGGAGGGAGATAAGTGAATATTACAAATTCCCAATTATGTCTGTAGGCATTTACATGGAAATTCTCCAAGTCCTTGCTACATACACTTTATTATATGTAGAAATGGTAGAAATACCAACATCTTTAATCCAACACTTTTTACGTATATTCAGATGGTTTTAACACACAAAATAAAGACATTAAGGAAGAAATTTTATAAAACAGAGGAATATTCATCATAATGATTTCTTTACGTCAGTAATTTCTGTGAATTAGACATGGAAAAACATCTACCTAGCAAAAAAACTATTTACTATTGTTTTCTCAGAAGGTCTAGCATTTTGATAATTTGGAGCACAGATTTGAAATTCTTTGGGGAGCAACAGGTGGTAGTAGAGAAAGGCCACTTTAGTACATTCCTGCAAAAACTTGCCCATATACACATCTGAAAATTCATATACATACATTTTCTTGGTTTATAGTCTAAACAGGATGAAGAGTCTTCCCTCATAGGATTCCAGCTATTCCTTACAGCTCTGACAGGCTATGTGTGCAACAACCACAGCACAGGGAGGTATGTTCCATCCCAAACTTCACAGACAGCAATGGAGTCAGTGTTCCATATCAGCCCAGATCATTAAGTAATCTGGAGCACAAAACTCAACATGTAGCATTAAATTAATAAAACCATCTATTCCATAATATTTCTGGGATAATAGCAAAAGTAGGAAATTAGAGTCAACTCTAAGACTCTAATGTTCCTTTGACATTGCATACTGGCAAAATATACTTCTTTGCTTCTCTCTAAATTACCATTGACACAGTTCTATGTGACTGTTAGTGGGTTTTGGTGTTTGGGGTTTTTTTCCCCAGTGTTTAAAAAAAACCCTTAAGTTAAAATTACTGTTACCATGTAATTACAAAACTAGTATTCACAAGATAAAAAGTAAATATCTTAGGATGAAATCTGTCCATTTAGCCTTAAGATTCTTTCTATAAACTCTAAAACAACTCTGGTACTCTCTGATAAAAAGACACACTGTAATACAGAAAATAAATTGAATTACAACTGTTCATACAAGAAAAAAGCAGCTCTTTCAGTGTAGAGGAAGATATCTGGAAGAAGTGCAGAATGCTGATATAGACAAAATAGTTTCATGGCTGGGAAGGTTTAAAAATCACCATGGAGAACTAGACTACTCCCACATCAGAAACAGAGTTCTCTTGTAAAGCAAACCCTACAAACCAAATTTTTCACAGGTGGATGCTGTGTGCTCATCAATTATGAATTCTGAACGCCAAGAGTCAAATTTAGGAAGTCATACATACTCTGAGTTTCCAGGAATATTCCAAGGAATATGGTTCTGAATACAAATTCTATAAACACTGTTTTCTAAACTTCTCAGTCCAGGCATACAAAGTTTGCTGATACCTTAGAGAACATTTGCTTTTATTTCTATTCTTCAATCCACTAACCATTTGGCACAGTGTGTGGGGTAACCTCCAGCACCCCACAAAGATACTGTGAAGACAGTATCTCAAGATTCCGTAAGATACTAGGAAAAAAAAAACCAAGCAGCAGCACCACAGAAACTCTGTTATGAAAGAAATATTGTGTTCAATGCAATATCACATGCAGAAAATAATAAAATGTTTCAAATGACTGAGTACTCCTCAATCCTTCCCGCAGACTAAGTAAGGAAAGGAACGCATGTAAAAAGTTACATTTCTCTTTCATTACAGGACTGCTGGCACCATGCACTCAGTCACAGGAGACAAAGCCAGACTGTGATGCTGACACTCTGTAACTTCCGAGGGTTATCAATGCAATGAATCTAAGTAAACTAGAGGACAAAAAAGTAAAACAACAGTTAAAGTTGATATATGCCAGGAGCTACTTGATCTCACTTGCAAAGAACAGCTCAAAGAAAGCCTTCTGCGCTGGCCCAGCCCAATCATCAGACAGGTCAACCACATCAGCCTCGGGCTGAGCGCAATCTAAAATGTGGAACCACAACATTCTGTGCAAGAGCAGCAGCCATGGCAGAGACCGAAAGCAAAGGGTAACAGCTACAGCTGAAAGACTTCTATAAAGGATATCACACAAACACATTTGGAAACCAACTAAAAATATGCAAAACAAATGTGTAACACTTGTTTGAATAACTCATTTGCAGCCTTGGCGTACTTAAAACTGAAGCACAGCTGTATAACAAAGGTGAGGAGAAAAAGAGCACAAACTTCTCTTAACATCACCACTGTTTAAAACTCTCTGATCTAAGATACTCCTGGGTTTACACCCTGAATTTAAACTGAATGTATAGACAATACTTAAGGCATGATGATGACTTATACAGATCTGTTTCTTAGAAACACTGACCGCTTTTTCTTGCCTACACACAGAACAGAGTTGTAACTGGCACAACAGACTAAGAAAAATGTTTCCACGTTTTAAAATACTCTCTGGAATCCAGCATATCTTTAAATAAGCCAAGCAAAATACTATGGACCAAAGCTGGTCTTCTGACTTCTATGCAAACCTTTCACTTTACTTCAAGGGCAGAATTTGATCCTGTGAGTTTTCAGAGGAGTTTATGCACCCTGGAATATTCGCACTGATTAAAATAGAATCCACTTTTATTCATTGCTAAAACATTTTATTATTAGCAGCTCAGGACAACATCCAATACTAAAAAGAATGTCATGACATAATTCTTAAAATATGTTAAGCTGTTAAGATTAACACTACTTTGAGGTTTGTTTATTTTAGTGACTTATTCATGACCCAACCCCTCTAAAGAAAATTAAATAGAAATGAAAAGAACATATAATTTCTGCACAGTTATTTTCTACCTATTTGCTTTCTGACACTAGCAACAGGAATAGTAAATATTTTTGCATAAAAGTTCAGGACCTATCAAGAACACAAAAGTACAAAGAGCCCAACACAGTATTGCATCTCACAAGTGGTGGGAGTGGAGTGACTTCATGACTGAAGTCCACCAGACTTTCTAAGCTAAGCAGAGGAGTTTCATCAGGTATGAGGGCCACAAAACTAACATTACTGTAGGTGATTCTGTTAAATCTTCTGGCATGATGTACAATGAGAGTCAGAGAAGTGGGGCTGATCAGTCTTAAGAGGAGACTAAAGTAAAATCTTACAGTGGAGTTCAATTGCCTAAGAGCAGGGTATAGAGAAGATAAAGCCAGAGTCTTCTTGTAAGTAATCACTGCAAGTATGAGAAGCACTGGGGACCAGCTGCAATGTGGGAAATTCCAATTAGATCAGGAAAAAAATTTCACAACAAGACTAGCCAAACACTGGAACAGATAGCCCAAAGAGGTGTCAAATCTCTATCCTTGGAGGCACGTAAACTCACCCAGGCAACCCCTGAGCCATCTGATCCAAGCCAGCCCTCCTGAGCAGAGGGTGGGACCATGCAACTCTCAGAGGTTCCCTGAGGCATAACAGTGTTCAGAGTTTACTTTGAACTTATGCATTTAATAAAATACTTCCCAGTTAATTTCATATCCTATATTATAAATTTTACAAAATATGTTTTAACATACAAACAGACTGGGAAAGAGAATCGTTTTCTAATGGTTAACACATTGCCTTCTAATTAATGCATTCACCTACCTGCCTCAAGGGTACAGTGACCTGAGGAATCACCATCCTAAGATGTGAGGCAAGAAATTAAAAAAGAGAAAACAGTAACAGTGTTTACAGAAGAATGCAATCAAAATATATTTTCCAGCTTTTCCTCTTTTACACTGATACATACAAATAAAACATGTCTTAAGACTTTCCTGATAAGAGAGCTGAAAACAAATTATTATTATTGAAGGACAAGCACTGCAGTCAAACTCAAAAAATCCCAGTTAGCCCAAGGACTCCATCACGTCTAGCTTTATTATATGCTTGGACACAAAACAGCTCCTGCTATCAGGATACCATGGTTTAAACAAACCAACCACATGTAGGAGAGCTGGGTCAATAATTCTATACTCTGCACAATCACCAGATACCAAGTGAAAGCTTTACCCTATGCCCAATTAAGAGCTATGGAAGGAGACAAGAGGCCTTGAAAATTCTCCAGAAAATCCATTTTTATCACAACTGAGAACCTCCTCCATAAAACTTCTCCATCTCTAGGGGAGAAAGAATTTGGAGCAGCCTGGACTGGCCAGTGTAGAAGATCCAAGACTTTCTGGAAGTGGTAGAGAAAAAAGCCCTGTGAGTCTTGTTATGTACTAGCCACCAAGTGGAAAGTTGCACTTCTCTACATACTATCACGTCCAATTCTTCTTTCAGAAATAGGAGGAGCACTGACAAAAATTCCTCCCTTTTTCTCATCTTGAAGCAATTCACTTAAAGGTTCTTTGCCTATACAGTTTTTGTTGTTCTAGCATTGACAAGCACTTCAACCATTGCTGCGGGACAAAATATTTAGCAGGGTAGCTATATGAGTAAAGAGAGAAGTCACCCTTAAATATTTTTTTTCATAATGGAGATCTTTTTTCCAACACCCACACACACAATTATTTTCTCCTAACTCCTCTAATAAGGGTTTCACAAATGCTATTTAAACAAAGTAATTGCCAACTATAGCTTAAAGCAAAACAGCAGGGATAGAAATAAATAAACAAAATCAATACCTTGCAAGGTAATCTAACAAATTCTAGCTCATTTGAATGAAAACACTGCATGAATCACAATGCACTATGTTTTACACCCTTCAAAAACCTTGAATAAATAACCTTCTAACAAGCAAGGTACATTCTGTTTCTCAGTACATTTGGCAAAGGTAAACGGACTAATTTACAAGATAAAGAGTCATACCTTCATAGTGTACAGAAAACATAATATCCAAGACATATTTTAACCTCTTTCAGAAAGAAGTCAGTTATCAAAATAATACAGAGATGTAGATGTACACTTTTTTAAAAAAATTCATGTTATTTTTTCCCACCACTGCCAAGGCACAGAGCAGGGTGGACTCACAGAACTGTTTTTCACTCACACCTTCCACAGCACTGACATTAGGACGAGTATCATGTTCCCATTCATCAGAGGCTTAAATTTTGATTGCTTTACAAAAGACAAAAGCCAAATTCCAATGCAGTCTAAAAATACTAAACAATAAACTAGTGCCTTTCCTTCAGAAGTAAAGAAAATGTCTTCTGTCGAAATTAGTATAAAACTGGAATCCAATTCACAGACACAACAGAGAAAAAATACAATTAACTGGTATATTCAAATTCTGCCCTAACTTTATAAAAAAGCTAAAGAAATCAAGGGCAAGGCTTCCTAATTGCCACTATTGCTTTCATGGAAAAACCTTAATTTTGTGCTGCTCAGTATAAGACGACTTTATCTGTAAAACCTTTATCTGAATGCTATACCTTTTTCATTCAGAGAAAGGAAGAACTGAGACAGTGATTTTGAGTAACTTTCTACTTCAGTTTATCTTGGTTCCCATATTATAATTATAGCACACTTATAATATGTTTTAGATGAAGTCAAGTTTGCTTTAGCATCTTTTAAACTAATCGGATTACACACTGGAGGTCTGCATTTTTATATACATTCCTCCACGACAATTTCTCCTTTCCTAATTTTAAGGAAAATTTGGTTCAGAGAGGCAGCCACAGCAGTTCAACTATGAGCACTGCTTCTCCTCTTATTTCTCCAAGCATCAGCTACAAATTTATCAGCATAAACATAATTATGTCAGTAACCCCTCTTGTCATACTTGGCCAACTTTTATTTGTCAGTCAATATGGTTAATGATACATATAGATGTAAGAATATTTATGGCTGCACTTGGTTTTATTTTAAATACACTCTTTTCATATGAAAAACACAGTTAAAGAAATCACCACAATGAATTAAAGACTTGTGTGTGTGTGTGTGTTTTCTCCAAAAAAGAGCTGATATTTTAGAATTCAGAACTAAATTTTACAGCATAGTTCAAGCATTTCTGAAGCACTGTTCCAGAACTTTGAAGCATTATTCAGGATCCGGATAACCTTGGTTCCTTTTCCTATTCATGTCCAAAACAAACACAGGAACTTGCATATGCACAACACATACTCTTCCCAGAAGTCCTCTACCATTGGTTCTTGTACTCCACCACACATCTGCAGTTAAGTCAGACTCTGCCTGTACACAGGAGCAGAATCAGCCCCTTCTTTCTTGTTTAGAAGTGTTATTAGAAAACAGAAAAAAAAGAAAATCCAACAAGAGAGAGAAACCAGTTATAACACCTCCTGCCAAACACTCCAGAGATATCTAGCTATATTATAATTTTTTTTTAAATCTCTGTACTTTCAAGGATTTTATTTGTGTACTCGTAGCCTAGATGCAAGATGAGCAGTGTTACACATACTTTAGGAGGTGGTGAACAATCAGAGCTTTCAGCAGTTTTTAAAAACCTGTAATTCCAGAATGGTTTTCTGTGACAGCTTTTTGCATAAATCAAGTTTGGTTATAGTTCTCTCACAGGATGAAAGACAGACTGTGCTACAAAGGGTAAGTAACTTATGTTCACTGTTCCCTTTGGCTTCTTTCCCCAGTTCCTCAGTTTAAGAGCGTTGGATTACATACCCATTGCTGATGAGTCACATTCTGGGAATACCAGAAGATATTCTTCTTCGTTTAATGCTTTCATTGCACTTTTCTATGAAGTTTACCATTCAGTAAAAAAATAAAGTTGTCAACATACGTAGGACTTCCCAAACCCTAACAATGTGTCCTTACTAGTATACAACTTGGAAACTGAGCAGTACCAACTGGAAAATCAAAAGAAAAATAGTGTTTAGCCACACAAAGCATAATTTCAAGACTAGTGATTTACACCTGTTAAAACAAATATCTTAAAAAACAGCACACTATTAAAAACAAGCTGTTGAGTTCACTGTCCAAATTCAGTAATTTCAGACTACACCAGAGAGAAAGAGGCATTTACAAATGTTATTACTGAATGTGTAAAAAAAGGTAGAGATTCCCCTCATGCCTCATGCAATAAACTGTTTTGAAGATGCATGGGAACCGCCTGTCCTAACTGTGTAGGCCATATACAGTAGTCCGAGACTGACCTTGGATTTCAGAATGGCACCGAGTCTCAGCATTCAAATAAACACTCATACTTTCATGTTTAACACTTTGAATTCACACTCATGCTTTAAGGGTGCTCAGCACACTAAAAATATGCAACATGTTATGGAAAATCCTTTCTATTTTACAGTATCAAGGACTAAAGTTGTCTTTGCAGCTTTAAGAAAAGTGCTGAACTGATTTTTCTTTCTGAGAACTTTCTACCAAACAAGCAGTCAGGAACGATCCGGTATCTGCTTGGCAAATCTGACTATTTAAAGGCAGAACAACATTTTTTGAATGCAAACTCTGGAAAGTCATTTATATCTCTATTTTCCATTCCCTTTTATTGCAACACATTTTCCCGCCAAAATAATCCATGCAAGAATGCATGACTGAAGGAATCTGCTCAGAATTCAATAGTGTACTGTCAACTCCCTTAGTCTGATATATGGCTCTTAATTGAGGGAATTGCATCTTTTGCTCCCTCTTTCTTTTTAAACAGATTTTTAGGAGTGACTCCAAAGAAAGAGATAATGAAGAATAGCTGAAGAAAACCCGCCTCTCCAATGATCTGTGACTAGTTCAATAAAAGCTAGCAGTCATCATTCAGGAAGACAAAGCGTTTGTGTTTTGCAACCTAAATACAGTAAAAATTCTATATTTTCTGTTGACTTAGAAGTTACATCTGAAAGTTGATAGATAAAATCAACAAGCTCTATTCATACAACAGTAACTGAATTCAAAATATATGATATCTGATGTGTTCCAAGTAAACAAGAGTAGTTAGATTCTCCCTTTGCCAGAAAGGGAAATATTAAAAAAAAAAGTCACACTGTTGCAGAGAATTGCATTTTCCAAAATAACTGTACACTAAAAAACGTATCTGGAGACTCTACAAGAATGTATATTGCAACTGAAAACAAGCACAAAAAAACAAGCACTTACAGATTAATGGATTCACACCTATTTCATTCATATACTATTCTCCAGACAGAAAAAAGGAAAAGTATTTCTGAAAACAACTGACTACATATAGCATTTCCTACTGAGGATCCTACAATCGTGCATGCTGTGTAAAGTAATAAATGTTTGAAGGATTGAGTCCTAAATATATTTGCTCAGTATTTAAGCAAAGTTACAAGTAGTTGCCATTGCTTGACAGTAAAAAGGCAACATTTTAAAAGACCATAGTTATAAAGACAAACAGTTATTATCAGTCAATTGTTTTCACAATTACTCATATTTTCATTACCTAAGTCCATGGTTTTCATCCTATATTTGAAACCCATAATCAAAACACCGTTCTATGGCGGACCACATGACAGAAGCATATTTTTCAGAACAATGTTAGCAACACTAAACTTCTATTATTAGTTTTCTCTCTCCTGCCCCCCAGAATTGCACATGCTGCCACAGTTCAGTGACTACAAAATGAACTAAACCTTTTGAGACTCTAGTGGGAAATGTCAGTTCATCCAGGACTGAGAGCATTCAAATACTGTAATCAAACCACTGGTGTTCAACATGATAAAACATTGATTCATATGTTGGTAATCTATTTCTATAAACGTCTCGTAGGTCCGCATTTCAGAAGGGAATCACTCCATACAGGAAATATATGAATAATCATTAAATGCAAGGAAAAGTAAATTTCAATTGCAAAAGGATCCTTCAAAATATCAAGTAAGCAATTTTTGGGGAAAAAGCCAGGTTGAATAGATATATACAGATTTAACTAGTGCAAGCCATGTTTCCTCATGAAGCCAGAACTCAATCTGTATGCCTATATGCGTGCTCCAAGACAGGGCTTGCAAACATGTTTGTGGTATTTCAACAAGCATGATAAATAGTTGGTCACTGGTACACTTATCACTTTTTGTGCTTTACGTTCTTTTCACAGCACTATTTCTATCAGAAAAAAAGACATGCACACAAATAACACACTCTAATATCCCTAGATAAAAGCTGACTCAAGTCTTGCAGTAATTCTCAACCATGTGGTTTAGGCAGAATTTTTTCTTGCTTTGTGGGTTTTTTTAAAACAGAATTCTCAGCATTGTCAGGTTTAAAAACCAGTCGTTTTCTTTATCACTGTTAAGTTTTATGCACCGACACTTTTCCCATGTTCTCCCCTTGGACATTCCCTAAGCTCTAATCTAAGTTTGCAACTGTTTTGGAGCAATCCAAGTCCCCCTAAAGAACAGAAGATGAATAAACCAAGGGAACACAGGATAGCTGCTCCAGGAAATAAGCTGATTGCCCTACATGGTAAGGATTTACCACAGAGGATATCTCTCACCAGAGATAAAAATTACGCTTTCGCCTTGAGAGTTCACTTACCTCCCGCAATTCAAGCCTCTGAGCCACTGCTTCCAGACTTTCCTGGCCGGTGCTTTCCACTGACAGCGTGAACTCCACAAATTCATTGTTGAGCAGCTGGATACGAGCCACCAAGCAGCTCTTGCTGGATACTGTGTAACGTCGAGTTCGTTTCAATTTTAACCCAAAAGGTAGAGGCATCTTCTTTCTTCCCCCTCAGATGGTTACTATTAAAGAGGTACTACCAACAGGACCTTGAGAGGGGACGGGAAGTTGTCTGCTCTCAACAGGTAAGAAGTTGTAAAGTCTCCAGAGATCAACCAGCAGCAGCAGTATCCATTAAAGACAAGTAAGTTTTCCACCAAGAAATAAGCAGAAGAGACATCCACTGGAATTCTAGTACGGAGTAAAAGAGAAAGAGAATAAATACAAGAATCAGAAATACTTTGACTGAAAGGGGAATGGTAACATGGGAAAAATAACATGTATATCTTTTCTAAATCTAAATAATCAGTCTACTTTTCCAAAATGCAGAGTTGTTATGTATTCAAATAATGAAATAAGTACCAGAGTTTCTGGTTTTTCCACAGACAACACTGGGTTTTGGCAAGTTGATTTCTTTTTTTTTAAACTCACAAGAGAATAATGAGTCTTAGTCAAATGTGGCTGTGATATCTTAAAATAAGTATCTATAAACTGAATCAGTATTTAAATGAAATACATCTACTAAGTCCAAGTTACCTACGGTATTTCTAATACTGAATAAAGCCACTTTCTCTACCAGCAAATGCAGCAATCTGGCTTGTTTTTCAGAGCGTCATACCGCCTCAGTCACTATCTGCTGCTGGATTAGAGGCAAAACCAAGTCCCATAAAAGATTAAGGGGGAAAAAAAGAAAGGCAGGGAGGCATTAAAGCTCACACCTCAGCCGTTTCCTACCAGACAATTAAAATGTAATTCCTCTAATTTTCCCTGAATTACAGCTAGCTGTGCCATTATTCCTCATGCTAAACTTCTGTATGACACTTCAGGTTATGCTTTGCTTCGCCAAAAGAGTACATGAATTCTGAGAACCCTTTATTTTCTACTTTTTCCTTGAAAAACATACTCATTTCCAAGCTACAGGTAGCCACCCATTTCCCCACCTTTTGCAAACACTTTCACGTCTCCTCTCCTGTCAACTCCATCCAAAGCTTTGCCTTTCTCCTTTTTCAGGTCTTTGCTTACCACGTGCACCCTGACCTAAGAAATTTGTCACAGAATCACGGAAAGGTTTGAGTTGGAAGGGACCTTAAAGATCACCTAGTTCCAAGCCCCCTGCCACGGGCAGGGATTCCATTTACTAGACCGGGCTGCTCCAACCTGGGGCTGCAGGAGCTACGTGGGCCATGCCGGTGGGCCAGGCATTGCCGCCTGGGATAAAGCCACGCTGCTTCCTCTCCTCTCTGCCCGTGGACCTCTAGAGGCAGCGTTGCCCAGCCTGAAAAGGGAAAGAAAACAGCCGCCTACTTCTTTTTTTTTTTTTTTTTTCCCTGGGCTGGTATGTATTAGTAGCACCTATTAAATATAATTCGATTTCTGAGGACTCTCAGGATGACCAGACATGAGCAACGTGAGGATACCCATTTCTTTGGAATGGGGGAACCGGAAGAAGTAGCCTTCCTAGCACACCTGTATTATTATTATTATTATTATTATACCACACACCGCTTGGACCTTTATACACCTACCTAGAAACTTAATGTTATCCAACACAACCTGAAACTCTTTAGGCTGAAAACCTTGAATCAGCCTCCCTATTCACTTGCAAGCAGCACTGCAAAGAAGGGAGGCAGAAAGACACTAAAGGCCTTAAATGGGGAGAAAGAAGAGGCAGCGTGGCATTTTTCCCCAATGACATCTTTGCAACCCTACCCCAAAGAATGACCAGAAGCATATTTCATGACCACATTTCTGATAATCTGGAAGCAGCTCTACCATCCAACACAATCCCTGTCCTCAACAGATACACCTAAAATTTTAGCTGAATGAGAAAAAAACCCTGACCCAAACATAAACTAATTTATTTTTGGGTGCAGCTGTAAAATAAATAACAACGGGTAACAGGTTTCCCTGAAAAATGCAGGGATATACAGGGAATCCTAACTTCATTACTTGTTCTGTACTTTGATCCTCCAAATCTAGCCCTGCTTAAGCAGCATGCAGGGAATGCTCTACAGACAGAAGCTTTTAGTCCCCTGCCCACTGCCAGCAGAATCTCTCACTGGGTTTATTCCTGTTAGAGTAACTTTTGCCTGACTGACCTCAGCCTATGTCCCCAAGCTTCCACCCCCCATTTTCCAATACATTCTTTGTACAATTACGTACTTTCTTTGGTGCTACATTAATAAGGAAAAGCAACTCACTTCTCTCTTTGAAAGCTGCAGTCAGAAATGCAGTGCTGTTTAACCTCAGGTTTTACGTAGTACTACTGAATATGAAAGACTTTGAAACTTTTGTGCCCATATCAGGCCCTTAAAAAAGTATTCTAAGGGTATGGAAAGAAACAAAAATTAAAAAAAAAAAATCATTAAACAAAGGCCAACCAGACAGGTGAAATTTTCAAACCATTTAATGCTGACATGAGGAAGTCTCAGACTTGCAGTTATGCAGGCAGGTAACAATGCAAGCATAGGAAGAAGTTTAGAGCAGAATTTTCAGAACATGCCAACCAGAAACATTCTTCAGGTTAAGATCCCTTGTTTGGATTTATTGCTCCACTGAGCATTTTCCCTAAATCATTTAACTCAGTACATGTCTGACATAATCTTCATAACTTCTGAAACACATTTATAACAAGAAAAACTTAAATAATTAATTTCCAGACCACATCACAAAGGACCAACTAAAAGAAAAAACTCCTGACATATAATAAATATTGTAGAATGAAGGCAAGTTTGATGAATAACACTGAGGTATCATTCAGTATCTTCTACTGCTAGCCATGTGTAGTTCCTGCAAACACAGCTGTGCTGGTTTTATTCAGCAGCTGAATATTCTGCAATGCTAGGTACTCTCACATTTGCCTTCTGCATTACTTTAAATTGAGACACATCTGCATTGTTTCAAAGCTCCTTTAGCAAAAAGGAACTACATACTGCCAGGAGTTATGAATCCAACTGATGACCTTTACAGTAACAGGCCTTTATTTACCAAGCCTGGAATTTTCATGCAACAGCTAAAAATGTTGTTAGTGGCCAAAGTTTGTATACTTATATTTTAACAGAATCCTGTAGCTTCAAAAATGCTATATTAGAATTTCAGCAACATGACCATGACCAATGTGTGATTACTGAACACTTTCTCTTTTGCCTACACCTCCCACTCTCTCAATTACTAGCATTTTACTTTATGAAGATTTTTTAAACAGCCTGCACGAATGACAGTAATCAAAATAAAATTGCAATATATGATGGTGAAAAAGGGTTCCTATTATTTCAAAGGCTTGAAATACATATATTTATTTCAGAAATATTTGAGGAGCCAAAAAAAATAATCAGAATACTCCACCCTCCCCCTGTTTTACCAGTTAATCTTTGACATGACTCTTGGACTGAGAGAGCAGCAATAAGTGCGTATCTCAAACCTCCCCTACCTCCAGAAGCACAGTCCCCCTGCCTTTACTTTTCAAAAAATAAATGCCTGAAACTCCTCAGCCTTACAGCAGAGAAGTTCACCCGCTATGTTTTCACTCTGCCTGCTGTTTTCCCCTTACCTTGCACAGCGATCCAAAGACAGCGAGTCTCCCCTCACATACGTGTAGCTGAAAAAAGTCCTCAGTGCTCCAAGACTTTTCCTCCCGGAGCCATCTCATCTGTATTCCTCGGGAGCTGACTTACTGTGTTCCTCTTGTCCGAAACAGCTGCTATCTCGGCTAACCCACCTTCTTCTCAGATCACTCATAGTGAAAACATTCCTCACTTCCTGTCTCAAAAAACTTGCTCTGGATATCATTCCACTGGGTAAAGAGCTGGGGGGTGGAAGAAAATATTACAACAAAATAAACCTGTGCCAGCCAGCTCTTCAGGCGGCCTCTTTCATGTGACCCTGTGCCGCATGAGCGCAAATTGCGTTCGCAGGAATATTTTCAAATCGCCCGTCCCTCTGTGCCTCTGTGTGTGTGCATTTAATTTCTTTTCCTGGAGGCGTTCCCCTCGCTCTATCCATGCGGAAGGATACGCTGAAAGAATTAAAGCGAAGGCCCGTATGCTTGTAGCCCATTACCTCAGAGAGTTGGAATGCCTGGCAGGGAGAATGTCAGCAATGAACAGCTGCTTCTCTGGCTACAGGGGCACTACAGAAATAGGGGTTACAACAAATAGCAGGCAATCCTTGCTTTTTTTAATCATATGATCATTTATTTTAAGCCTTTCCAGTTAAGGCAAATCTCTTACCAAAATTCTGTTGGTCTTATTGTCATGCAGCTTGGAAATATTTTCAAGGTTTAATCAGTTTGTGCCTTATCAAATGACCTAAGCACATACATTTATATCTGCAGCTGAAAACAAAAGCCCTTGCAAAGTTTCAGCTGTTAGTAAGATACAGAGCAAGAGAATGCAGACTAGAGGCTGATCTTTCAGCCCTTGTCTGGACTTAAAACTCCCAAAGGTGTCAATAGAAATTACATCCTTAATAACAACTGTCTTAGCAAGCTTTAAATGCATATCAAATCAGAAATATTTACAGTGTTTAACTAACACAAACCATACAAGGGCTGCGCTCAAGTCTCACAAGCATATGGAGACCTCTGCATGTTTGTGTGCCTGTGAAATCTGCAATTGTTGCATGCCATTTGAAATATTATGGCTCTCCCCATTGTGTGAGCCAGGCAAAAGTATATACAAACTTGAAATGGGTCAGGGATGAGGAAAAAGTAAAGTATGTGAATGCTGACTCATAACTGTAAAACCTAGAAAGTGTTTTGGTAATGTAAAGTGCACAAACATGCTACTGTCTGAGCAGGTCTAACCTGCAGGTCAACTATGCAAATAGCATGTTACTCAGGAGGACACTAATCTCAGCTGAAATATGTAGGTAATTTTGCGCTATAATGAATTCTTCTGAGTTATTTCTCCTAGACACATTTGTCTTTCCTCAGATCAGAGAAATACTTCTTTGTTTCCTCTCCATACATCAGTCACAGTTATGATAGCAGTCCATAAGCAAAACATAAAACACTAATTTGGGGGAATCATATACTGAGTAAAATAAACTAACTTTGAACTAACCAAAATTTTGAACTAACTTTGAACTAACCAACCCTTTTCTAATGGTGTCTGCTGCAGGTCAGAACTATGGTTACTTGCTGGAAAAAAATCTCTAATACAGCATATGACTAATCCAAGCCATGAAAATTCAGAGTTACAAAGGCAACCCCTCCTGTTTCTAAACAATTCATACTGGAAACAAGGTCTCAATTCTCTTATCTGTCACATTTCCTATTCTAATTCTTCATCACACCCATTTCCTGCCTGATTCCCTGCCTAGAAGTTGCATTTATTAGACTTCCTTTGTTTTCCATAGTTAGTTAGTTCTTGCTGCATTTTTCTTTCTTTGCATTTATATTAAAGACAATACCTCATCTTAAAAGAGATAGCTAGGGTGTTGTCAATATACTCCTCTACAGCCTGCATCATCTTTTGAAGCTCCTCACATTTTTATACACAAATAATTTTTTTCTTCTACTAGTTTTTTCATTTTGTAACCCCAGATTGTATTCCAACTTCGCATTTTTCTGCACTTTCTCCATTTTGCCCTATCTCATTTTTTTCCTCATCAGCTCTATATTACTTGCTTTGCTCCAACTATCAATTCTAATAAAAGGGGCAAAGAGACAAAGACATCCATGAACATGGGATGATCTTTGATAAAGACACATCAATATGATTTATAGTGATTGTCTCAGGCCACATACTGTGCTTCTGCTTCCTTCTTTAAGCTCTGGTCAACACTCATGACATTCATGGATGTTGACTACATTTTTGCTGCACTCTTTACTCTCTTGGTGAAGTTTATGTGAGGAAATGATTAATATCCTACAGCTGAATGTTGCAACCTTTGTTCTATGAGGACAAGGGAAAGTTTCTGCCCCTTGGGTTGGATAAGGCCTGCTCATAATGGAAGAGGGATAAATCTATTTTGTTCCTATTGGCATTGTCCCTTCTGGAGCAGGTTTTTGTTGAGGTTTTTTTTCATCTTGGTCCAAATATCTGATTGTAGTTGAGTGTATCAACCAACAGGGTGAAGGTTGATGCAAATATTCACCTTATTTTGATTCTGGAAGCTCTCTCCAGCATCAGGTCTTTGCCTTGACTAAACGTAAACAGCAAGTTGGAAGTGAGCCAACGAGGAAGCAGAATCGGCCACCCTCCAGGCAGAAAAGTGGTATGCATGTGTACGCTCCTCAGCCTAGTGGAGGGTTACCCATTCCCGATAAAAACACAAGCAGGATAATCCGGAAACTGCTAGTTAAAGGGGCTTTCCCACAGTGCTGAAACAATGAAGAAGCCATGTGGAAAAAGATCTTGATTTACCCCATGCAAAATAGTGGCTTCATGAACTGAAAAGTCAGAATACTTCTGATTCTACATGTGATGCAAAACCGTTCTCTGGACAAATTCATTTTATTCATCACTTGCACGTTTGGCTCTGTGTCTGAAGCCTCCTTGCTTTTTCATCATTCCATTTCTTATTTGTGAAAAACAAGAGATAGCTGGGACTTTGTGCATCCTTATACATTTGTTATGGTAATAGACATAATTGAGTGCCAGAAAAATGAGTATACAATATGTCTATTACATGCTTGTAGCATGCAATTTCATGTGTGTGAGATTCATTTTTACTTACGAGGTGCTGTAAAGTGTTCAACATGTTCTACTAAGTAACTAATTAGGGTTATAGAATTTTTCTATTAGAAGAAAACAGGCAGTTTTCCTACACAGAATGTAGTGTTGAACTTGAAGCAATGAGCTCCTTTGTTATTTGCAAAGAAAACTTTTTTTAACACAGTATTTCTTTCTAAAGTAAATCCCTTAGTTATGAAATAAACTTAATTCCTGTTTCTGCACTGCAATAATTATTTTTCTTGCTCCAATAATACTTTCTTAAGAATGTAAAGTGTCTCTTAAAGGTTAAAATCGTGTAATTATACTAATCTGTTACTAGTTCTATCTCATTGTAACACCAAAGTGTTATAACTAGAGTCAGGCAAACAGCTCAGATCATTAGCAATAATTAGTCTAAGCTATCTTTGTATGATGTTTGGTTTAAATCAGGAGCGGTGATGCAGAAAGAGATTAACACAGCTGTTAACTACAATGCCTGGAGTTTATTTTAACCAGTGGCATTACTTGTAAAAGATCCTTTATCTGTAGGCTGGGCTTTCTATAATGTTTCTACTCACTAGATCAGCTGAAGTGAAGCTGGGACATTGGTGCAAAAGATAAATGGTTTGCCTCAAACATTATTTCTTTTCTGCTCACTACTATCATTGCCCTGTAGCCTTTTCTCCACATAGTTCTTCCTCCCTCTGCAACTGATCCCCCGTAACAGTAAGACCAGTTGATATTTGTGTTGGGTTTGTGTCGCCAGGTTTTGGTAGTGGAGGAGCTACAGGGGTAACTTGTGTGAGAAGCTGTCAGAAACTTCCCCGTATCTGACTGTGCAAATGCAAGATGGCTCCAAGATAGACACACCACTGGCCAAGGCTGAGCTCATCAGCCACTGTGTTAGTTAGCACTCCTGGGATGACATGTTTAAGAAGGGAAGAAAAGTTATTGGGCAGAAGCAAATTGTAGCCAGAGGAGTGAGAATGTGTGCGAAGAACAGCTCTGCAGACACAAAGGTCAGTGAAGAGGGAGTGGGGGGAGGTTTTCCAAGTGCTGGGGCAGAGATTCCCCTGCAGCCCAGGTTGCAGACCGTGGTGAGGCAGCTGTGCCCCTGCAGCCCATGGAGGTCTATAGTGGTGCACAGATCTACCTGCACCCCACGCTGATCCCACATGGTTGCCTGGAGGCCGTGAAACCATAGGAAGCCCATGGCAGAGCAGGCTCCTGGCAGGACCTGTGGTCCCATGAAGAGAGGAGGCTGTGCTGGAGGAGGTTTGCTGCCAGGACTTGTGACCCCATGGGGGGCCCACACTGGAGCAGCCTGTTCCTGAAGAACTGCATCCCATGGAAGGATCCATGCTGGGACAGTTTGTGAACTGCAGCCTGTGGGAACGATTTGTGGAAGACTGTTTCTCCTGGAAGCAGGGGAAGTATTCTTCCCCCAAGGAGTAAAGAGTGTCGAAGACAAAAGGCGATGAACTGACCATAACACTCATTCCTGTTTTCCTATGCTGCTGGGTGAAGGAGGTAGAGAACCAGGAGTAATGTTAAGCCCTGGAAGAAGGAAGGGGTGTTGGGAAGGTATTTTAAGATTTGGGTTTATTTCTTATTATCCTACACTGATTTGATTGTTAATAAATTAAACTAATTTCCCTAAGTCTATTTTGTCCGTGACAGTAATTGCTGAGTGATCTCTCCAGTCCTTGACCCACGAGCCTTTTGTTATCTTTTTTTGCTCTTGCCCAGCCAAGAAAGGGGGGGTGATACAGCAGCTTTGATGGACACCTGGCAACCTTTTTCTTAGGAAAAAAACCCCTATGTTGTTTTAAGGCTTATCAGTCTATTGTGGGGTCACAAAGATTAAAATTCAGTGCTAAAATCTTTTTATTATATAGCTGTAGTGTGGCAGTAAGAGTTACTTGGATACTGTGTGTAGTGCTAGACCATAATTTATTTAGTTTTTAGCAAATAACTATTGAAACCTTCAATTTGTCTGGTTCGTAAGAGAGAGCATTAACATTAAAATAACCTTGCAGTTGGTGTAAGGGCATTCGCTTACCCTAAGCCACGTGGCAGGGCCTTATGAGAACCTGGAACGAAGAGAAAGAGGCAACTTTACAAAAGGTGAGTGTGTTCCTCTGGTAGTGAGGAGCAGCCCGTGGCACGCGGCTGTTCGGAAGCCCTTTAGAGGGACAGACTCCCTTATTCCCGTTCTCCAGGCCGGCTCCCGCACGTCCCGCAGCGCCGGGCCGGGGCCGCCTCCGCCCGCCAGGGGGCGCCGCCGGCGGAGGCCACGGCTGCTCGCGCGGCGCTCGGTA